GATAAAAAAAAAGCACTGCGCATGCGCAAAACCAATTTTTGAAACTGGCGTTAGATTTTCATTTAGTCCAAATAAAAAAGTTTGCAATTCGGTTTATAAATGGTCGAGATGCGAAAAGGGCACTGTGAATTTTGAGTCGATTCGACTCAACTTTTGGCATTGCGTAATATATGGATAAAGCTATGCCAATTTTGAATTTCATGCAATTCAGTTCATAACTAACGGAGACGTCAAAGCGATCGGGCATTTCTAACCATCGTTCACACGGACAGACAGACAAAGGAACAGACAGACAGACAAAGGAACAGACAGACAGACCAACAGACAGCAATACCAAATTATAAAAGGATCGTTAATACACGGCAAAAGTGTAAAATTATGGAACATGTAAAAAACTGATTTTTCGTTTTTTTTTACAATAACTTATTTAGCAATAAACGCAGAAAACATTCCTGCCTTGCTTCACACCATAATGAACCAAATAGCGAAAAAAGTAGAACAATAGCTAAAGAACTAGTAGCGTCTCAACGAACGAGCGGACAAAGTCGCATTTTTTTAAATTTTTGTTCAGCGCATTTTCCATGCATTGATACTTCCCAATAGGCCACAGCTATGTTATGTGCGCTATCCGCTATGTTTCTTTTACTACATAGGCATCTATGGTTGAAATTTCAGAGAAATATCTCCCATAAAATATAAGGAGTTATATTGCGCAGTTCGCGCAACTGCCGCATGCGCAATTATCATCAGATTTTTCTTGGCTGCATGTGCCAGAGCTATAAGCTACCAAAATAGCTGTGCGAGGAGTTTAAACTAACTTGATAAAAAGATGAACCTGACCGATGGCCTCACAACGTGCACTAATTGATTGCTTTTTTAAACATTCAACGAAATTAAAATATATTACTTTGAGTCGTAGCCGCAGCGGTTTTCTAACTCAGAATGTGTGTTGTCTGCCAAAAATCTGTAATCAGATAAACATAAGAACAAGAAAAAAAACTATGTGACCAGCACGGCATATAATGTAAGAGGCAAAATCTGCGAATACTGTAAGGCTGGCCACACACAGAATCAGACGCGACTGGACATAGTCCAAGACGCCTTTAGTCGTTTATGTCTGTTTGCCTGATAATAACTGCACATGTCTGTGGGCCTGTGGTTTTAGTCACGGGGCGTCATGACTCTCTGCAGATGCTTCCCTCCCTCCATTTGCAGTTCACCTGTCCACCAGATTGTTGTACTGTGGTGATCTTTGAACGTCATGCTGTAGATCGCAAGCTGGTTTGAGAGACTAACCTACAATGTACCGACATCCACAAAGTTTCTGTATGTGTGTCTCTAACGTACCTGCATACCTTCCAGTACGGTCCCAACTTTTTTGGTTTTTTACATAATTATACCTATCACCCGCGGCGAGAAAGATTATAATCCTACCCCAGATTCACTAGATATCGTATATGAGGCCACATAAGCAACAGCAAATCAGCCGCAACCCTAGAAGTTGAAGGGTGGCTGTGGAAAAACGAGGGTGCGAACCCGTGGACTACTCTTTAGCTTTAGAATCGTGATGTGAGGGGGACTCGAGTATAATACTCACGATTCTTAAAGGCTCTATTTTGTAGGTCACCAGAAATTGTGAAGATCCTGGCGCCACCGTAGGCGATGTAATGGTACCTATAGAGTCAGTAAAATGAGTAAGTTTGCATATCGGCTTAGCGCTTATATTAATACCGCGTATGAGGTTATACATCCGTGCCGTTCTAACACATGCCATTCGAGTTAGAGGGCAAACGGGGGTATCCAGTTTTACGAACTGTGCACGGTGAACTAAGAATGGTGCTACGTTTTAGGCGCTTTTAATGGAGATTACTGCGTCAAAAAGAGATTACATGGGTAAGCCATGTTTGTGAAGGAATGAACAACATTCACTTAAATGCTTCAAAGTTGACCATTCTTTCACAAACGTGCCTTACCTGTTGTTATCTCTTTTTGGCATTGAAAACGCCTTTAACGTACAGCATCATTCTTGGGTGCACAGCTCGTGGTTCGTAAAACTAAATACGCACTTTCTGTCTAACCCAAAGGTCATGTGTAACGGCAAAGATGTATAATTTCATACGCGCTCTTAAGATAACCGCTAAGCCGATGTGCAAAGTTACTCATTTTTCTGGCTACAGTTAAAGTACTAGATGGCGCAGGATGGGACGGTAAATTTTAATATTTTATTTTCATGAATTTTAGGGTCCCCCTGTAGCTTCTTCAAACCGTACCGCTTCCTCGTCAATCAGAAAAACGTTCAGGTATGGTTACCGTCCCCGTTGCAAGTCCAATCGGGATCAATTGGGACATGGCGGAGTACAGAATCCATAGAAATTGACGGCGCAGGGTGTTATTTTGTTTTTGGAACACTTGAACAGAGATTTTCGGGGAATCAAATAAATGTTGTAAATCGAACAGAGACTCGCGGTGTTTGAGTTGACTCAAATTAACCACAACCAAAGTTATGGAATCAAATTTAAATTTTCCTGATAGCATGAAATAAAAATTGAATAAAACATTAAGTTCTATTCAATGATTGAGTAGTAAGGTGCGCCTGATGACGTACTCTACGTGAACGGAGAAGACGTCCACTTCATGGCGTGGCGTCAACTCTGAAAGGTTGAGTCTTTGCTACCCGATCCCATTGGTTGCGTCTGTACTTGTACTAACGTTAGCAGTGGGTAAAGGATGAGCTCCTTGATCAGCGATATGGAGAAGTCCTCGAAAGTGCTCTAGACCGTTACTCATCTACGGAGTTAATGAAGCTTGCCTAAAATGGAGAGTGGGCGCTAAGACTGTAAACAATAGCTTACTATAGGAGTAGAATTCCGAGAGATCCGACTCAACCCGTGACTCTTCACAGAGTAACTACGACTCTCTTAATATACAGTGTGTCCCAGATCGGGTGGGATTGCATGGGTAACTTTGTTATTATTAAGGATAGAGAATTGGTTAAATGGGCAATGTTTTGCAGTTTTAGATGCTTATTTAAAATTTACTTTTTGAAATTCAAAATGTCGCATAGATTCGACGTAAATTCAAAAAAACTAAAATTGGTAATTTCCTTGAATGTCTGAAGTATAAGAGATATAAAAAAAGTTTTATATAAAAGTTACTGTCTTTGATACGTTTAATTTAGAATTGATGTCAAAAAAAAATTCAAGATGGCTACTTTTGAGGAACATTTAACAAATTCCTAAAGTTAAATAGGCGCCATATGGGATTTTTTGATTACTTGATAGATTTTTTAGTTCTCTTTTCAACGAGCCATCATAACATAAGATTGAAAATAAGATACCTGTTATATCAACGGTTTTTATATTTTAATTAAGTAGGCTGTGATGAATTAAAAAAAACAAAACAAAATCTATTCGAGGCAACAAAACAATGAAAATAATTACATCAGATGTTTAAAAAAATCAGGGACGCACTCATGAGAGGGGGGGGGGGCATTACAACTCCCTCCAAAATTTTATATAAGCATTAGGTCTAGAAAAATTTGATTTTTATAACATATCACTTATTGACTTATTATCCATACTTACATACTACAAATGGTGGTATAACTACAAACTATCCCCTCGAAAAAAGTCATGCCATTATCCAGTTAAAGACATTTCAAGACACTTCCTTTATTTTACACAATGTATTACCATTGATGCATTGTCCCAGGCCACATTTTGTAGGTGGTTTATCCGCAAGAATATCGAAACTAACAGTTTTACCAGTCCGAGTATATGGACAGATGAATCTTATTTTTCTAACTTGGAAGTGTTCAAATCGACATTATGAACACTACTCGTCACAGGAAAACCTACATGTTGTAGTTTCACGCCGAAATCAAGTAATATTTTTTTAAATTAATGTATTTTATGGCATAATGGGAAGTCATGTAATTGGACCTGTAATCTTCGATGTTTCTTTAACTGCTCACCATTATTTACAAATTCTCCAATAAACTTCCTTAAAGGATTTTTCTCGACAACGTATGTTTCGAAGGAAGGGTTAATTTATGCTATCTACCAACAAACTGGCTGCTCAGGTCACAATTCACGAATTATGTACAGTACATTAAATTATAAAAGTAAGTACCTACTTAATTAAAAAATAAAAGTAAAGTGGAAGTAGCTACCACTACAATAATAATAATAATCATCAATGGCAACACGTTGCCTAAACTAAACTGTCTTGAAGTGTGTTTCACTAACAATGGCCAGTATTTTAAACATCTGGTGTAATTATTTTCATTGTTTTGTTGCCTCGGAATAGATTTTGTTTTGTTTTTTTATTATTCGTCACAGACTACTTGATTAAAATACAAAAACCGTTAATATAACTGGTATCTTATTTTCAATCTTATAATAGCTTGTTGAAAAGAGAATTTAAAAATCTATCAAGTAATCTAAAAATCCAATATGGCGCCCATTTAACTTTAGGAAGTTGGTAAATGTTCCTCAAAAGTGGCCATCTTGAATTTTTTTTGACATCAATTCTAAATTAAGCGTATCAAAGACAGTCACTTTTATATAAAACTTTTTTTATATCTCTTATACTTTCGATGATATAAGGACATTCAAGGAAATGACCAATTTTAGTTTTTTTGAATTTACGTCGAACCTATGCGACATTTTGAATTTCCATAAGGAAATTTTAAATACGCATCCAAAACTGCAAAACATTGCCCATTTAACCAATTCTCTATCTTTAATAATAACAAAGTTACCCATGCAATCCCACCCGATTTGGGACGCACTGTATAATGAGGTCTCCAATCCCCACCCCAACTTTGAAGTCTACCATCCCCAGGAGAGTGATCAGTGAATAGATCTCATCTGGTGTCCTTAGTACATTTGCACTTGTAGGCAAGTTCTCACGCAATGTTGGCAGGCTGCTTCGGATGTTAGTGGTATAGGGATGCCAAATTGAATTTGGATTTTACAATTTATCTAAAGTATCTCTTACCTTACACCGCTGAGGGTTGTTAAAAATCGTAGACCAGATTCAGCTTGAGTGCCATGCTCGAAAAATGTTTCATTTCTTCGAAAAGACCTTTATTTTCCATCAACAACTTGACCACCTTCTTCTTGCCCGGTCTGAATAGGGCTGTATTAGTCACATTCAGGTGGAGAAATATGTGTGGCGTTCTCAAGTTGTATGCCAGTTTGAAGCTGTTGGGACCAAATACTTTTGAGGACGCCGTTCCCCTTCCAGGTTTTGAAAAATATGTTTGCTGATGGTGCGGCTAGGGCACTGAGCATGATGAGCAGGTACTTATCCCCACCAAGTACCATCACTACCTCGTAGTCCTATAATACCTCTAGGGCCGTGGCAACAATCATGTGGTCTGCATTGTCATTAACTTGCTTTAAATTATTCATTTTGCAGAACCTATCAAGTTTATTACGCGAAATTTCGAAATGTGAACTCTTAAAAGTAACGGTATAACAGTTCTCATTATTAACCACTTTGAACAACTTTAGGGAAACCAAACTTTACAAGTGACACAAAGACTATAGTGAAAAATATCTATATATATATACATATATATTTGTGTACAACTCTGGACGTAGTTTGTTTTCTTGAATTCATCAATACACTGTATTTATTTTTTCAACAGTAAACATAGCAACCCTTTCCCGTTACACTCGAGAATGTTTATAATGAGGTATACAGTACTCCGAAATTAAAATCTATTATCAATGTTCCATCAATAAGATATACAATACTAAACTAACAGTTTTTGTACAATATCCTCTCACAACACTTTTATACACTTTAAAAATAAAACTTAATCGTAACAATAAAATACATAAAAATATTCGTATCTAATAAATCTTTCAAAAAGATGTACAAATTAATAACGAAATATGTAAACTATGAGTACAACAAACATCAGTCTTTTAACAAACTGAGCAGGTTTAATTATTATTGCCAGTAACAAACAATAACAATGAATATCACATTGCAAAATTTATTTTGTGGACGTCATCAATAAAGGTTTAAGACCAGCTTCTGCAGGAGGAGTAAGGATTTCGTTACTTCGAAAATTTAAAGGGTGATCTTTTAGAAGTAAAGGTGGCTCCATATCCAACGCAGGCGGTGTTGAACCTGAATTTGGTGTAGACGGTATGTTATTTAAGAGATCTAATTTATCGTTCATATTAATCATTATATTTTGAGATTTACGAGTCATTTTAATCTTTGAATGAGGTAACGCATACCTCAGTTTATCCCAAAACCATGGATCACCCCATTTTACATACGTGTTCGTTTTTATATACGCTTTCAATTCGTCATTTAAATCTTTCTCCAAATCTACATCACCGTACACTATAACAATGACGCGACGGCGACCGTCTTTTACCGACTTAGCGTGCGCAGTAGAAAATTCCATTTTACCCCAACAACTACTTAAAAAGCTAGGAGATAGGATAACAATAGTTCTTCGAGATTTCTCCACTGAATTTACAATTTGGGTGGGTATAAATTCTCCCGCTATCCAATCTCGTATATGTATACACAGGTCGTAGCGTTGCGGACCTTTTTCTAAATTGGGCACTAAATCGTTGGTCACAAAATTTTCATCTTGGTGCGAATAACTGATGAAGGCATCATACTGCATATCTTTGTCAATTTCTTCCTCCGTAATCCACCATAATAATATGTTGTGGGCGTATAGCCATACTTTAATTTCGAGCTCATAGCGATAGTACACGATTGTCAGTACGGCGACCAGAAGTGCCATTAATGCTACGCTTACACTGACGCTCACTGCCAACAGGCGATAATTCGGACATAATTCTTTGAAATCTAACTGAACTAGCAGTTCCCTTGACTGCTTACATTTGATATTCTTCACATCAATCTGTAACAAAGTAATACAAATAAAATAAATGAATTTAGAGATGATCATATACACAAGACACATCTAGAAATGTGTTTACGGCAGTATTTTAGAAAAATTCACAAAACTGTCAGGTAAATCAATAGAAGAGCTTTGAGGATAGAAGACCACTTAAGAAGGATTTTTTACTTATGCAAAAAGGACAAATGGACCCTGATGATTGAGCAAATCAAAACTGCAGTTATAAAAACCAGAACAGACTCGGCAACAGAGTTGTAAAGACCTTGAAGAAATATATGCCAGACTAACCAACTTTGCAACCAATCCTAACAGCCAATTAAAAGGTTGAGTCTAAAGATTATAATTTGTCTCTTTTCCTGTTGACCACGTACACTGTGCATAGTGTACACTCTACATTTTTGTTATTGTACATTATTGTACTTTATTGCAAAAATTACAACACAAGTAAATTCATATTCGGTTCTTGAATTTTTGTATTTGACAATAAATAATGCAGTGTGGTCCCTGCAACAATGTCATTGAGTAAAGTTGTTCAGAATTAAGTTATGCTTAAATACACAGTCCCTCATTCAGATTTGTTTCTTTTTCTAGAAATGACCTCTGTACTGTACATACTTTTATTATTCTAATTCAATACGTATCAAATTAATCACAACCAAGTACTCTTTGAATTAAACTGTATTTGCAAAATTTACACAGATCTATATATCACCCAACTTCATGTTTGTTGCAGCGATATACAGAGCTCTAGGCTGTCGCAAATATTTTACTATAATGATTGTTCAATATGAAGAAGCTAATTTGAGTACTTATTGAATCTGAAAAGGAGAGGCCATGACTTTAAAATTTTAGCGTACCTAACTTTTAATTCTGAACAACCTTCTTGAATAACACTGCTCTATTTTTCGAAATTATAGTACTTTATTCTTGGGTAAATTTCATATTTTTAGCCTACCCTGTATACTGTTTATCCAACTTTTCACTTATTTAGATCTTGAATGTGTAACTAATAAAAAAATTCCCATTTGTTACACACTTAATGGACCACACTGTAGACATATAAGTTACGGGCGCACACGTAAATTGGGTAAGCGACTAGTGCAAGTAAGTGCAAAAATGAATCATTTTGTGTGCAGCGAGGTCATTGCCCTTTAAATTTCAATGTTGAAAAAATAGTACATTCCTGACATTGGGTGGCCACTCTCAACAATTAGTAGTTGAATATGGTTAATGTTCGCGATGTTAATATAATTATATTTTTAAAAGATAGCTATTGGCTACATTATAAGGTGTCATACAATTTTAAACCGCGCCATAGCCAGCTGTCTGAATTATATGCATGGCCACATTATGTTTTTAGTAACTTTTGTGTTTTAGAGGTTGGTAGTACAGTGAACAAGAAACAAAAATTAGGTGCAGGCCTGCGCTTGTCGCTGTTACAATTACTGCTTTCCATTTGAGTGAAAGAGGAGCTCTAAGCTGTACCGTGCACGATGCCCAATGTTCCTTTTAAGCAACCTTCGAGCTCTGACGCGCCCGAAATTGGATTTCCCTTGTCCCCTCATGCACCACCTATTTGCTTGGGGCTTGAAACACTTTTGTGGTTATTTATGTACTGTGAATGTCAATTCAAATGTGTGCAAAATTAACAACTTGCAAAATTAGCTGCTCCGAACGAACTACACCAGAGCTTCACGCACTCAAATGGAAAGCAGTAAATGTATACAAATAAAAATGAATGTCTTTATGTACAGAGTGTAGCGCCTAAGATCCCTCGGATCATAACTCCTTTACCATAGAAGATAAAGAAAAAAGCAAAATTGTACAAAATTACTACCGGCATGTTTCTAAAATGCGTGCTGTATTCCAGTGGCGTATCAAACTTGCATTTTTTTAAATGGAACACTGATTTTATTACTGATTTGGAATGTACTTGAAAAATACTTATTTTTTTATGTAACATCATAACATGCTATACCCCTAACTTTAACGGTTTCGCTGTTATAACCTTTTTTCGTCTAAATTTGACAGTTTTTCGAAATTTTTTTAAAGAGAAACTAAATCGCGAAGGCGGCTAATTTTGGGCCTGAGGTACAGGTAAAGATCTCTTCCACAATCAGATAATTTTTTGATTGACCTTTGTTAAATGTCATATTTTTTTAAAATTTCAAATGACACCTCCCCTAAACAAATGACACCTGTGGGTAGTCAAAATTACAAATTTTCTACTGATATAAACAGAACCACACATTCCATAAGAAGATTTCAGAGAAAAACCAAGTCGAAACGCCAATTTGTAAAAAAACGTTTTTTCCGCACCTAAGTGTGCCATGGTAAAATTAACAGTACAGTGTCAGCAGTGTATGATTGTTTTTTAATCAGCGTTGCGAAAATGTTCCAAACACCAGCAGAACTGGTTGATATGGTCTCTGAAATTGTCTTATGGAAAGTGGGGTTTTGTTTTATATCAGTGGAAAATTTGTACTTTTGGCTGCCCAGAGGTATAATTTGTTTAGGGGATGACATTTGAAATTTTTAAAAATATAAAATTTACCGAAGGTCAATCAAAAATTATATTTTTTGATAAAGTACCTAAAAAGGTGTGGAAAAGGTCTTAACCTGCGCCTCAGTTCCTGCGCGATTTACTGATTTAGTCAAATTGCACAAAATACATTATTTGTATAACAATTTTCAGTCTTAGTAAATACATTTAATTACAACAGAAACAACAGCTTTGGAAACATACTAGAGACACATGTATGTACACAACTACTGTAATGTACTATAAGGCAAAAACTAGCCTTGGTAAATTCAGAGACATTTTGGCACTGGCTCTCTATCTACTACTGCCGGATTATAGAGTGGGTCGGCTGCCTTCAGTGCATTTTCTATGTATTGCCCAGTACTTCCCAAAAGGCCATAGCTAAGTGGATTATGGATTACGATGGGAGGATGGATAGGGTCCACGCGTACCTAACCCTCAAATTCGGGCCCTTTGTACTACTTCTCTGACTAGTCATCCGCAGTGCCATTTTTAATACAATAAATTGTTCGGTGCAAGAAGTATTCATGGGCTCGTCCAGACTAGAAAATAGAAATTATCTGTGCCTACCGAATTTACTTTTTTCAATAATTTTTATTTGGTTTCAAAATAAAATCGAATACTACGAGTAAATAAGTAAACAGTATAAAAATGAAACTATGTTTACTTACACATAAAGAATTACAATTCAAACAAAATTAGGTTGATAAAAATCAACTCAATAGTTTTTTTAAAATAAATTTTTAAACTTTAACGTGCGGTGTGCTACATTTGCTTTTATTCCAAATCCCCCCATAAATAAGAAAGTTGGCACTGCGCATGCGCAAAACGAAATTTTGAAACTGGCGTTAAATTTGGTGTTATACCAAGTGGCTATGTATCAAATTTCATTTAAATAGGTACCTTTATAAATAAGTAAATAAGTTTGCAATTCGGTCTGTAAATGGTCGAGATGCGCAAAGGGCACTGTGAATGATGATCGATTAGGCCCAACTTTTGGAATTGTGTTTTATATGGCTAAAGCTATCCGCATATTGAATTTCATGCAATTCGGTTCATAACTAACGGAGATGTCAAAAGGGCCTACTTTATTTTTTGGTCTACATTGCCAATTCACGAACTCCGATGTACAAATTTGATAAAGAATCCACCTGCAAAATTTCATCGTAATCGATTCATTCATTTATGGGTTATCATGCTAACGGACGGACGGACAGACGCCGCAAAATTATAAACTCGCTAGGAGCTCGTTAATAATGTTGTCATTTCCTGGTCGAACCTTCTAGACTCGTAACAGTATGTTCTAATTGTAATGAATGTTCAATGTGAATCATTCACATGAAACTGAATAGTAGGATGTTGCGTATAATACGGTTACGCAGCGTATTGCGTTTATTATTTTGACTATCGTTTCATTCCGTGGGCCCGGGGCCCACGGGCCCATCGGTGCAACGCTGCGACTGTACCTATGTTAAAAACGGCACTGGACTCATCCGACCCCTCAACGTTACTCAAGCCATTCCACACGTCAGAATCCTGGAAGCGGACTCATCTCAGGTGGACTAGAGTGAGACATTCACAAAGTATTGTTTAATTTATGCTATATGTGATATGTTTGTTTTTGCTAGAAACCTCTTTGGTTAAACTTTCGAGAGAGATTTTCGTAAGTAAAAAAGTTGGCATTTTGCAGTCTGGGTATGCATGCATTTGTTTTTTACTATGTGCAATGTGTTTGCCTTTGCTAATGACATTTGTATTTTTCCATTTTTACATGTGATATGTTTTTCTTTACTAGAAGCATCTATGGTTAAAATTTCAAAGAAATATCTTCAAGGAAGTTGGGACTGCACAGAATGCGCAATAGACTGCGCATGAGCACATCTAATGTTTACAACATGAGATGTGTTTGCCTTTAAAAGAAGCATCTGTGATTAAAACTTTAAAAAGATATTCTCGATACATAAGAAAGTTTATATTGCGCAGCGTTCGCATGCGCACGTTGATCGTCAAGATTTTTCTTGTCACAGAGCCATAAGCTACCCAATTCAAAAAGAACGAACTAATCACAAAAATTAAAATAGTGTGTTTAAAGTTATACTGCGATTGGGGTTCTGTTTTAACACATAAACTAAAGGAAGCCCCTCATAATGGCTAACAAAGAGTGTATAAGCAATAATTGAAACCCCATTTTTTTGGAAATTCGTGATCACAAACAAGAAATAAGCCCAATTATCTGTATTTATTTTAAAAAAAAACACAAGTGGGTGTAAAAACTATTTGAAAAGTCAGTTAAGCCTCTTTTATGTTTACAAACAAAAACAATTTTCCTAGGTAACGGCTCGACGGATTTTGTTCAAATTTTGGATATGTATACTGGGTATACGAAAACGAAAAATACAGGACTGATTTTTGAAACAAAACTTTGGAGCGCCGCAACAGCATCCAACTTTCTAATCAAAAAATTTTTATTTTAAAGACATTTTCTGTGTATAACCTAAAAAAATTGTACCAGGTTTTATTACAAAAAAACTGAGAAAAAAAGTCAAAATTAAAAAACTAAAATATTTTTCTTGGTAAATATGGTTTTTTGTTATTTCGTTAAAATTTTGCGCATAACGGATGTAAGACTGCCAAAAACTTTTTTTTACCCCCCTCTTCTAGAGTCAAGTGATTAATGGATGACCCCTACCTGTATAGGCATTTGTGTGTGTTTTATAACACAATATCATTTCTTTCTTGTTCTATTAAAAAAAAGATATCCATAATGGTACAATGGCTGCACAAATTTTCATCTTGTTCGACTGTTTTCAATCAGGCTGTTTTAGACATAGAGATGTAATGACAGATTCTTTTTCAGTGATAGTGAACAGAAAAAAGGCAAGACCCAAGGTCCAAGATAGTCAAATTAAAGAAAAGATTCCCAATTAAAGAGTTATTATTATGCTTCAAATAAAATCAGAAAATTCCAATTACTTCCTAAGATACGCCCGAAGTACTGTATTAAGTAACATTTTTTATTACAAATACAACGATGTACGACTCACAAAAAAAAACAAAAGTTGGAAACTGTTGGTTTCAACAGGATGGTGTGCCCACACACAACGCCCTAATCGTGCGAGAATACCTATTGAACATATTTTCCGTGAAATTTATTCCATAATTACTCTCGCACAATTAGGGCGTTGTGTGCGGGTGCACCATCCTGTTGAAACCAACAGTTTCCAACTTTTGTTTTTTTGTGCAGTATGCTGTTGTATTCGTAATAAAAAGTGCTACTCAATACTATGTGTACTTTTTTACGGGCCATATAAAAAAATAAAGTTGATGATCCGAAACGAAACGCTATATTGCAAATCTCTCAACTGTGTCTTTGTAGAGCTCAAAAAGTGGCAATGAGAAAATGGCAGCCTTGTCATATCGTTCACTGTCAAAACATGTTTGTTTTATCAAGCTCTGAGTAAATTTTTTGATGTTATTCTTTCAGTCTTGTTAAACTTTCAAATGACAAACTCAAATTTGTAAAGGCGTTCCAAATATGTAATTGTTGTGACTATGTAACGCTATTTTTTGCATTGGTAATTTTGCTTGTGACATTGATTTTGTTAATGATAATGGTATAAGCGACTAGATAAGGTAAAGAGACATCAAGTTACCTGCATTTAAAACAAGAGTAAATATTTATAACTACCATAGAGTGGCGTGACTTTTTTGATCCGTGTGGTGACTTTCAACACCTGCGCTTAAACGTGTACCTACTGCGCGCTCTAACGCAGAGTATGTGTGACACATCGCTTGTATGAAGAGAGCTCAAATTCTACAAAGAAACCTCTTTTAATTGTGGTTTTTTTATTTTATGACACCTATTACAGAAATCTGTATTATTAATTTCGAATGTAAAGAAAACGTCGGTTTCAGATGATAAACATAAGAATGTGTTTCTTCAACATTTTATCCCACCAGGATACCATGATGGCGCAACCAGTGGCGTCACTGTGGATACTGCAGCAACCAAACTGGGCAACCAATTAAGCATTCACTTATATGTGCAATGAAGAATGCTGGAGAAAAAAGAGGGTATATCCTTTTGTTGCTAATCGTTTTATAAGTGGAGTATTTTTAACCTTGTACGATGATTTACTAGAGTATCCAAGCAAATTTTTTAACATAATATGTGCGGATGTCAAGTGAAGATCTGCACTGAATTTCATGATAAATCTTTCAGTATCAAAACTCATGACCGGTGGAGACATCAGTGGAATGTACAAATGCTACACGACTGGTGGCGCCATCAAACTGGTGGAGGGACCAAACCGACACCAAGTGAGATATGCTCCTATTGCTTATGTGTGTTCTGAATGGTGTCCCACTGGTTACGGCACTGTGGTGTCCTAGTTGGATATAGGTCTTACTCATCACAAGACTACATATATATCGATCAAGAATCAATTTCAAAAATGAAGTAGTAAAGAATATATTGAAGTTTCACAGCTTTAATAATAACAAATGGAAAACCTGCAAACAACATATTGTTATTAAGACCCTTCTAATATATGGCTTAATGGGGTTAAATTGGGAAAACAATCTAAACATGGTTTTTCATAAACAAACCTACCTTTAATCTCCATGACACAAAAACAAAATGAATGAAAAACAATACATAATACGAAAAAGGCATGAACTCTCAGTTGACTTCTAAAGATAACATAAACAAACTGAAAGATTATATATTCAAATTAATTAAAACATGTCACAGACCACCAGTGGCGGTCCCAGGGGGGGGGGCCCATTGTCCATTTTTTTTCATCAGATATCTTTTATTTTTTTCCGTGTTGGGACAAAGTTCGGGTTTAGGCCCCTCCCTTTACCAAATCCTGGGACCGCTACTGCAGACCACAAACAACATGAAAGTTAACACAACTAAAAATAAGTTGCAATCCTTAAAGAAATGTTTATCAATCGAAGGCAAAACTGCAAGTGCAAATTTAAGATGCCAAGATAATTTGAGTCAACTAAAATAAGTAAGGCGCAATGTGGCTACCAAAAGTTTAAGAAACGCAGTCAATGGTGTTAAAGAAATATGCTCCAGCATTAATTACCCACTGAAATTGGTGATAAATCTCGATTCGTTTTTGGAGTACCAGAACCTATATAGTCATTTGAGACCAAAATTGCAGATGTGCATTGAAAAATCCATCCAAGAAACTTCTTTTAAGCTTAATCAGTTCAATGACTTTGGAGGAGAAGAGGGAACAATAAATGGACATATAAAAATCGACAAAATTGATACATGAAACTAAATAAAATACACACAAAGCAAAAGATTTAAAATAAATAATTGGTTCCTTACCTGCTGCTGTGGTAAATGTGTTAATAAAAATTGACTGAAATTCGCCGTCTCACAGTTACAATCCCATGGATTTCTACCCAAGTAGATGTGTTTTAACATGGACCTATTCAGCATATCCAACACTTCAAAATTCAGAAAACTAAGATTATTGTTTTCCAAAATTAAGCTCTAAAAACAATCATTAATAACGGTTTAAATTACGAATATAATACCTCAAGCTTAGGAGGAACCCATTGGAACCCATCGATACTGTTTGAGGATAGATCCAACACTGTAATGTTCTCATAACCCATGTAGACTGTCGGACCAGAAGTTATGTTATTATTTGCCAAATAGATCTCGGTATGATTAAATATAGAACTTGTTTCAGAACTTAATTCGGGAACGTGGGTTAAACTTGCATTGATACAGTTGATAATTAAGGCTTTATCCCATGGACGTACAATGCAGGAGCAATTTTGTGGACATTTTCTGTTCTCGAGCTGTTGAAGTTCACAAGTCAGCATCTTCAACTCTAAGTCCTTGACAAGAATTCCTTTTAAATAATCGGGCGACTGGCATGTTAAACTGTCCGCTTTAACAGTTACCAAAGAAGGTACCATGGGATCGATGTCGCGCCGTAAATACCTCACAAAGTCGAAAATATGACAATCGCAAATAACTGGATTTTCACCTAGAAGTACTTCAGTGTTGGGCGCATCTGCCGGATATGAATTAAGGTTTCCTTGACTGCGAGCCAATTTTTCTGAGTATGTGAAATTCACAACTTTAATCCTGTTCTTGGACAGGTCTATTTGTAACCTTGGAGACACAGTTATCAAATAACGGAACTAAAAAAAATACAATAATAATGGAATCCGACACTGAATTGAACTTACATTTATGTTATCAATTTGATTATGGCTGAAGTCTATTTCCCGCAGATGGATCTTTGAGATTATCCAATCGTCACTTATGCGTGTTATGTTATTGTGACTGAGATCCACTTTTTCCAATTGCAAATTATCATTAAATGGGGATACAGTAGTGAAATTCTCTTTTAGAACCAAGTAATTATGCGACAAATCGATTTCTTTTAATATAGTTAATCGTTGAAATGAATATCTCTGAATTGAAACTAATTGATTATTACTTAAATTAATGATTTCTAAACTGAGCAGACCAAAGAAGAGCTTTGAGACAATCGTAGTTAGTTTGTTATTGGCAAGATTTAATCTTTTTAAATTTTCCAAAGAATGGAAAACCTTTTCTGGTAGATTTTGAATATCGTTGTCACTCAAATCTAAGTTCTCAAGTTTCGATAAATCTTTAAAAATATTTTCGGGTATCGTTTTCAATTCGTTATGCCCTAAAGACACATTTTGTAAACTTGTGCATTCGGCGAATAGATTTTCTGGTAGGAAATTTAACTTACATCGCTTGAGTCCGACTGTTTTTAAAAGTTTTAGATTTACAAATAAGTAATCTGGTAGAGATTGCAGATGCGGATTATTTTCCATTTTAATCGTCTCAAGAAGAGTACTCTTTGCAAATGTGTTTGCGGGAAGCGTTTCGAATTCGTTCATGCCCAGATTAATGGCCGTTAAATTTTTTAATGAGTAAAAAGCGTCATAGGGAAGATGCTGTATGTGACAATGGCTTAATTCTAGAGTTCTCAAGCTGGTAAGATCACGAAATATGCTGCCATTGATGGTAGTGAAATTACTCCCCCATAAAAATAATACCCGCAAGTTGTTTAAGTTATGAAATAACGTATCGGGAATAGAATCTAAATTATTCATCGACAGGTCTATGAGAGTTAATTTTTCCGTATACTTAAACAAGTTTGGTGTTAAACGGATTGAGTTGGAACCGAGATCGATTTCCGTTAAATTACTTGAGCCCATAAACACATCATCGTCGATGATTTCGATTTCATTATTACTTAAAGTTAAGGATTCTAAATACGATAATCCCGAAAGAAAGCTTGCCTTGAAATGTTTAAAGTATTTCATATAATCTGCCTTTAATGACTTCACTTTGTAAACTCCAAGATTGTCCATAAAAGTTGACACGCTGTCAGGAATGGGGCAGTTTCTAAATTTGAAGGCTTCGACGTAACCAAGATTTAATTGAGGAAGTTTTGGATCGATCCAATTTGATTTGTCCGTTATGCACTGCACGTCTACCAAATATTGCGGTTCCACTTTCAGTACTACGTCCACTTCCTCCGGTGGGCACAGGTATTCATAGTGGGTTTGGACAGTTGTGCAATGGCACGTGTCCGAAGAGTTACATTGGAAATTCTGGGCGGAGATTATGCATATGGTCCACAAGAAGAAGATTATGGAAGTGAGAAGCTTATAGCTATCCATTGCAAATTTTTACACCTGCAAATAAAAACAATTATTATAATATTGAACTTATTGACATATTTGTTACATTGAAATTTTTAAGGAATGAAAAATAAATTTGTGCCCAAGATAAGGATCTATCATGGGGGATCTCGAAAATCATAGAAGATAAGATGGTCAAATTAGAGAAAGGAGGCGCAATCTTATACTATAAAGAAAACCAGAAGATTCCGAAGAGATTCCAGAAAAACTGCAATTTACTAATTTTGTTTTTATTTTTTATGATGATACAAAAAAATAAACACTTTCTCATTGCCACTTTTTGAGTTCTAAAAGACACCGTTGAGAGAGTTTCAATAGGTATAACGTTCCGTTTTTGAGAAATCATAAACTTTATTTTTTGTATGGTCTGTAAAAAAGTACATACTGTATTGAGTAACATTTTTTATTACAAATACAACCATGTACATGGCACACAAAAAAAAACAAAAGTTGGTTTCAACAAGATGGTGCATCCACCCACGATACCTTAACCCTAATCCGGTTAATGTGTGTCTATCGGACACATTTGTCATTTCTGACAATAATATATTTATTTCTGTAGAACCTATAATGATAATAATAATAATAATAAGATTTATTTTTCATGCCACTAAAATGAATAAGTAAAGGTCACAAAAAACGTAATGTACCAAATAACAAAAACAAATAGTTACACAACTTACTAACAATTAAAGATTACTAAACACATCGTAAATGCAGTTCTTTATACAGTTGGTGGAATAATATGCTTTATTGATAAGGTGTCTTTTACACCCAAATGTCTTTATGCCTTACCTATAGATATGTTACAAAAATACCAACCGCGATTATGAAATGCGATTATAGTTCTTTAGGAAAATTTTTCAAAAGAAAAAAATGTGTCGGAAGTTGGTACTCACAAAGGGAAAGTGATAGGTCTCCCCGAGACGCATCCAACGGTACCACTTTCGACAGGACCGGATTACTAACGACGGGGGATATGCTGTGAAGAACAAAATGTCGTAACAGAGTAGGTACTTACAAAGTGAAGATTAAACTTCTTTTCTAGATGCATGTGTGAAAATTTGAATTCGAATATCTGGAGAAGTATTTGGTATAATGGAGTCGTATGTTTTGAATAGCCTTAAGGCTATTTGCACGCACACCGATTTTGGGCGGTTGGTAAAAAATAGGCCGATATTTTATCGGTTAGCAGGTGCTTGCAGGCATGGATTTTTACAGGTCAAACAATCAGTTGCTTCGTTTTCATAACACGAGGTTATTGAATCCTAAATGAGTTGTTGCTATGTGGTGAAGAACTAAGGCTTGATGAAAGTAAGTCTTTCAACTTCTTCAGAATGCCTATTGCATCCTTTGACAGGTTCCATGAGAAGTTGAAAATTAAAATCCAACATCAGAATACCAAAATGAGAAACTCTACTCCTTCACGAGAAAGGCTTGCTCTAACATTGAAGTAAGTACTGAAATAGGTTTTTTATTGATGTTCCCAATGTACCAAATTATTAAAAAATAACCACAAGATGCCTACCACAATATAGCAAGTCCATACAATTCCGATCTTTTTTCTCCATGATTTTATACTTGGTGACATGGAAATCGCAACACCAAGAAGAGGTGGAGATTTTTTGACCAAACTTGGCAAAAACGTTTAACTACTAAAAGGTAACAATTGATTAAAATTTAAAAGAAAAAAAAAATATATAAACATATTTTTTATTAATAATGGGTTGGTCCTCCCCGAGGGGAAATAACTCCTTAAATATGGTGTACAGTTGTACACCTGGAATTTTTAATTACTTGATTACCTTTTCAATACTTTAATTACGTTTTGAGTATGTTTTGATTCTTTTCATTACCTTCAAATACATTTCCAGTACTTTGATTACATTGTGAATATTTTAATTATCTTTTCAATATTTTAATTCCTTTTTCAATCTTTCAATTACAATTTCAAATACTTTCATTACTTGTTGAGTATTTTGATTACATGTTTGATAATGGTAAGGTCAAGTTGTTGACCCGTCATGTTGGCTCGCGTACTGATGAAATACTTAGTGAACAAGCTCAAAAACCGCGAGCGCATCAGTTTCGCAGGGAAATATCTCCTTTATTAGCAGTTGTTTTAAGTTACTTATTGTGAACTCCTTAGTCGTTTACAATACAGTATTTAAGGGTGTCGGTCCGTTTGTACTCTCATTTACGGCTGAACCGATTAGAACCAAATTTGGTACATAAATTCTTAGACAAAAAAGGAAGAGCTTAAAAATCTTTGGATAGAACGCGCAGGTGTACAGATGGTATCTGTGCCAGCCACAGCAAATTTTTTTCTGAATCATGTTAATCTTAATACATAAGGTATGGGTAAAATCAGTAGTAGGCTCTGGTAAAATCCTTTCCCTTAATCTCAGCTGAAATTTGTTTCCTTTACTTCCACTATCCCCCCCCTACCCCAAGTAGAACAACGAGCGAAAGTGCGACAGCGTCGCAAAAAAACAAAAGGATTGCTATACAGAAAGATTAAACAATTGGATGTAAAAAAATTATGCTCCCAAGGTCACACCTCGACGCCAGTCAGCCTGTGCCGCCCATTCATAAATAGCAAACGCGTTTTCTCTTCGGAAAAATCCGCAGCATTTTTGTACAACTTTGCTTTTCCAAAAAAATTGAAAAAAGTGGGGAAGGGTCAATTTTCGCATGCAGGCGGACGCGTCTACCGTTTAAAAAAATACATCCCCGCCCGGCCGATCAGTGACTGCAGTTCGTAATGCTTTTTCTCTGCATTGACAATAACAAATTTGACAAAATCCAGAGAGCCTGTAGTTTGTTCACTTTGTTTCAAGAAAGTGATTTTAAAAAACTCAGAACTGATTTTGCGAGGCACCATTCTGGCGTACTTACTTGGAGAAAGTTTGAGGACATTATTGTTGAAACCTTAAAAACATTCTGCCTCTCATTCTGCTTTGGGGGTTCCACCAACAGAATCCAAAACAATTCGTACTTTTTCGATCAGACTTCTCAATCAAAAGTTATAGACTAGAAACCAATTTCGAAAAAAAATTCAAAGGGCTATAACTTTTGAACTAGTAGCCCAATCTTGGAACTGTTTGAAATTATGGATTCTACAGGCCACATTCTATAAGAAAATTTTTTTTCCGGGTCGATCTGAGACAATTTTTTTTTCGGGGCTCAAAAAAAGGCAGTGTATAACCTTCCTTTTTTACCAAAAATCGACTGCACCAAAATTTCTCGGGAAAACACTTTTTCTTATTAATTTTGGTGCGTAGAATCCATAACAATTCGTACTTTTTCGATCAGACTTCTCAATCAAAAGTTATAGACTAGAAACCTATTTCGAAAGAAAATTCAAAGGGCTGTAACTTTTGAACTAGTAGCCCAATCTTGGAACTGTTTGAAATTATGAATTCTACAGGCCACATTCTATAAGAAAATTTTTTTCCGGGTTGATCTCAGACAATTTTTTTTTCGGGGCTCAAAAAAAGGCAGTGTATAACCTTCCTTTTTTACCAAAAATCGACTGCACCAAAATTTCTCAGGAAAACACTTTTTCTTATTAATTTTGGTGCGTAGAAACCACCATACAATACTCGACCTACTTAGGATTTTTTTAGTAGGAAGATACTAATGCTATTAGCATTTTCCAAAGGGCCCACTGAGTGTGACAGTTCAAAGTGATACTTTGAACTCGTTCACAATGGATATGCCTAACCAATTATAGTACAATATGGTATAATAGTCCTCCACTTGAATTGAAAGTTGGCATCCTTTCCAGTGAAACGAGAAGTGGATAGCGAAAAGGAATGATTCAAAAAGTGACGTTTATCAAATATATAGAGTATCTCCAAATACTTCTTAATTACTTCAAATATATTCAAGTACATCTCAATTACTTAAATTACTACTTTCAAGTATTTTAATTATCTATGATTATTTATGAAATATTTTGATTCTATTGAAAATGTTCTGATTACTTATTAAATGCTTGATTACTTTTCAAATATTTTAAGTCCTACAAATACACATTAATTACTTACAAATACCGTTAAATATCAAATATTTTAAATATGGTGTACACTTTTTGGAAGTTGTTTGCCCCTCGGTCCTCCCCTATTGGTTATACACTCCCTCACTTTCCGACCTCAGTGGCATTGATTCTAGTAGATGGTCGATTTCCTCTTGGAGTATTGTGTCCCAAGCCCCCTGTAATTCATTCTGTAGAGCTTGCAGCGTCTGCGGAGGATGCGGTAAATTCCTCAACCTTCTGCCCATAATGTCCCAAACATGCTCGATGGGCGATAGATCGGGAGATCTGGGTGGCCATGGCAAGAGATTGATATTATCCTGTGCAAATCGGTCCATAGAACGTCTTGCAATATGGGGATGGGCATTATCCTGCTGGAAAAGTGGGTCTTCTAATTTGTACGGGAATAATGAATTCATTAAATTCGTGGCTAGTCTCAAGTCTATTCGGGGTAGTCTCCAGCAAGTTTGGGGCATTCTCTAAGAATTCTTGATTACTATACAGGGTGGTGACTTGCGTAACGCATCATAGGGATTTCAATGTAAAATTCATAACATGCGATTATTGGCTCCCCAGATTATTTTAGAGCAAAAATGTATTAAGTTTTTTTGTAGAAAAAAATTTTTTACGTCAATCAACCGCATTACTTTTAAATTTCTTGCATAATAAAGACGGAAAATTGGAAAAATAAAACCCGCACCTTTGCAATAATCTGTGATGCCATGGAATTTTCTAAAACAAAAAGATATCCAGTTATCAATTAGCAGCTGTTCGAAATGGATTTTATGTTCGACTTGGTTACTCTCTTGCAGTTAATGGTGACTTATTCGAACATTTATTGTAAATTGTTATATTAGGAAACCGTTTTTAGTAATTTGGTCTTTCTTTATGTTGAATTCGCTGTTTCAAATATAATACTTTTTGATAGAATTTGATTTATTTTATAACAGACATTCCATGGCATGACGGATATTGGCGTAGTTTTTGTATTATAAAATTCCATGGCATCACAGATTATTGAAAAAGATGGGGGTTTTAATTTTCCAATTTTCCGTCTTTATTATGCAAAAAATTGAAAAGTAATGCGGTTGATTGACGTAAAAAATTTTTTTCTACAAAAAACCTTAATACATTTTTGCTCTAAAATAATTTGGGGAGCCAATAATCGCATGTTATGAATTTTTCATTGAAATCCCTATGATGCGTTATGCAAGTCACCACCCTGTATAGGAATTCTTAAGCAAACACATTTTTGGCGTCTTTACTTTCACACAACACATTTTTAAGAAATAGTACTGCACAACTGTGCAGCATAGAACACGAAAATTCGCAAAGCGCAAAGTGAGAAATAGCAGAAGTGTTTATTAAAAATTGATGGCTGTGATAAGACGCGCCGGCAAAGGGGACGCTCCGCTCCCAGGTCGTGAACATTGTGAAAGTTGTAAATGAGTGCACCAAAGGATAGCATAGAAGATTTAAATACCTTTGACATTTCCTTCATACATGCCAGCATTATCGTCACATTTAAGACTTTGTTCGTAAGAGACTCCTTATTCATCCATGAAAACAACTTTTCTTTATAATCTTTATAATAGGATTTCGCACCTACCAACTTTTCTTCTGCTTTTGCAACAAGCTATAAAATGGACTGTGTATTATCTTTTTCAAATGAAGTTATTTTATTTACAAAGATGGCGATTTTTATAAGCAAACGTCAAGTGACATTTCCATCATTATGGAATTACGAATTACAGCTCACTTAACATGTATTCGAGTATAACGTCAATATGACGTTATTTTATTTCCCTTATTTTTAAATTATATTTCAGGTATAATAAAAGCGCGTCATGTCGTTAAACGTTGCGCATGCTTTAAACACTTGTCTCTTAATATCAAGGGGTACATTTGGTGTACACATGTTGGGGAAGTCCATGAAATCTTGATGAATGAACCATGAAATATTTGTGAAATTTTGGTGAAATAGGAGAGATTGTATCACAGTTTGCGATTGGAGTCATCGTCTACAACAAATAATCTGACTCTGGGGTCTGTAGGCATGAATGCTTATTAATTTATTATTTACAGATAGATAAGTGGAACATATTTAGCAAAACAACGAAGACGTATATAGTGCTAACTTTATTTTTTCAAAAGCAAAATGTTGAAGTTATCAATGCTAAAGGTTAAAAGATAACTAAGATAACCAACAAATGACTACCTAATTAAATATTCTTAAACATGGTATGGTAAAAATAGTTTTGACGTTTTGCTTTTGTTTCCCTATAGGCAGATGCTTAGCCGCCTCGTTAACCGTTTAGGATGATAACCACCCTCCACCAACAACCTATATCTAACACATAATTTGAAAAAAAGCAAAATTCACATTATCAACTAGGTAGTGGACCGAGTAGTGGACATTTTTATCAAGACAAGCATGCTATCTCATATGTTTCCCGGATACACTGGTTAATTGCGACTTGTCCAACTATCATTTACATTAATTATTGTAACTGGCTACTTATAGCACCTCTAAACTGAAGAGAGAATATTCACATCCAGGAGGTAAGAAGATAAACCGGTTCAACTCTTAACAGTCTGATGAAGGTTACACACGTATCATATTTGGCATTTGGGTTCAAGCTGGAATCATTAGCATAATTCACGTGTTTCACAACAAAAAGTGGAAATTCCCCCTTAATTTCCCTAGACGTTGAAGATTTTTACTACATTATCGGTATATGTGAATGGTTTTACCATTACCATTGATGAAATGAAAGTACGCGACAATTATCAATTAGTTTTAATGCTCCACCGCAAATTGATTTGTACTAAATAAACCCCATTACCAAACAATTAAAACTATCTTATCTGAGTTATCTCACTAGGTATTTGGCTGTTACAGTCTACTTAGATACCAATATACACCAAGTTGACCAAGTACCATAAATTCCGTTTATTTCAATTCCAGAAAAAACAAATTGGAAACAGGTGGTTAGGTTATCCTTTCTTATAGCATTGTAGTAGAATGATATGCTTTCTCTCTCATCAAAAAAAGAAAGCTGTGATTTCTAATTTGGGTCCCAATAGAGAACGAAATACTTACGTTTACAGCGGAGAAAAAAAAATCACTAGTATTATCTGCTACATCCTGTTGTGTCTTCCGTGAATCCGTCAAGAAGACCTTTATTATGATAGGCCCACTTCGATAAAATAATCCAAACAGATGAAGCACATATGTTGAACCAAATTTACAAAACACAATCCTTTTTCAACAAAAATATCACTCAGCAGTCAGCACTTGGTGGTAATCACTAATCAGCCATATACAAATGAAAACTGCGTCACGCTCGTGGCGTAGAGAGGGACCGGATTTTTGACATCCCCGAGATTAATATTGTGTTCGCGTGCAATCGACAATGATAAATAAATATCTAATTTTTACGTTACGTTACGTGAAAGTCAGAAGACGAACGGGTATTGAATGGCTTATCCGAGGGCTTATCTTTTGTCGATCGATAATGCAAAGTCCAATTACGATGAGTAATTGATCAAATTGACCTATCGATACGTAGGTAGGAATACAAACTAAGTAAATTGTTATTTTATTGATTATTATTGTACATAGATAATGTGTACAAATTGATAAAATTACCAAAATCCTCAAGATTTTTGTCCCACATACCGATACGATTTCCTAATTTTCCTGAAGTGACAGATAAGATTATAACCTAAAACTCATAGGCGTACTTGCATTATTAACGGTAATAACATTTACTGTAAATTAGCACTAACTATTGTAACGTAAATTTAATTACGGAATTTATTTACATAAAATTAAATAACAATTTAATATATATCAATTACTTACAGATACATTTATAACACGAGGGAGTTGTTTTCTCGCGTGTTAATAATAATAATAATATATATATTTGTTGTGCAGACATGTTGATACATTTACACTCGTCATTAGATAAAGAACACACTAGCATATAATACAACAAACATAATAAAAAAAACATATAACACAGAATGACTGATACAATTACGAACCACTCCAACAGAAGTCGTTAAACTCATCAAATGAGAAAAAAGGGTGTTGAATAAACAATTTTTTTAGTGTGATTCTAAAATCTGAGAGGGGTAGCGATCTAATCTTCGGAGGAACTAGGTTAAATAAAGATTGCGATTGGTATGTTGCACCATTTTGGCTCTTCAACAATCGGCAAAAGTCACCCTTAACTTAAGTTGTCTTTTTGTCGAGTCGAGCACCTGGTATTGTAACACATTCAAACGCGGATAACCCCAACCTGAGATCTATGACGGCCTAAAGCGACTTCCTCTCTCTTAAATAATCAATAAAATTTACAAAATTCAAATTAAATAATCCCCATTAAATGCCTCCCGTTACAGTATACCTCAAAAACCTACGCTATTGTTCTTACGTTAAGGTAATAATTTCTAAAGCGTGAACTAACTATCCTTTGTGAATGCCAAATAATGGGATCAACCTTTATATCTTACATGAAAACTTGTGCAACCTCCAAACCCTAAACTAGGAAAAACCCTCCGTTTGACCTAACATTGTAGTGTACTACAAGGTTCTACGCTAACTTCACCCTACGAGAACAGGGCAATAAAGTCAACCCGGCAACGTTTAAAAATCCCCCCCCCCCGAACGACAATAATCTCCAAAATTAAACAAAATCCCGCTTAAATTTGAAAAGTGGCACGTAATCAAACATCTAAGGCCGAGCCCCCTTCGCTAGTTGTAGACAACGCTATGACTTGAAGCACAGTAGGGAAGGAACGTAAAATAAAACACTGAAACTGTGAAGTTTGTTTTTTTAATTATGAAGATTGTGGAAACCCGGAAATTTAGTTAATGTACATTAATGTAAGCAAAGCCAAAAGGTGTCGTACTCACGCAAAAGAGTGTTGAATGAATGATTAGTTCTTGTCAAGACCATGTAATTAAAACATAAACATAAATTAAGCAACCATTTCACCAAAAACGTAAACGATTACAAACAAAAGGAAAACGGTATCAAATAATATACGATTCTGCATTAAGGTTAAATCAAGTCGTTTTCAAAAACAAAGATTGAAACTCACAAAAATATAAAATGCTGCATACAAAACACAAACAACATAAGTATAAAGAAATGCAAAGATTACTACCTGCATTAAATAACACAAAATAACAACAAACACTTATGGAGCGACACGTTCGCGACCGCCATTAAAAACAAGATGACAAACGTACCCACGTTCGTGCTCTCTAGATGGCGCAAACAGCTTTCCCTTCTCCCCTCCTAAAAATTGCGCGGTTGCCAACCTTAGACCATAGGACTGCTATTCGCACTATGCTTCCAATACAAAATGGGCGGTCACGGATAGAGGGCACTGTAGTCGGTTGGGGGTATGCCATAGATATATAAATACCTAGATACAGCCATCCTTAACAAACGTACCTCGTTTTTTAAAAAACATATCAAAGAAATTTGTACATCTCTCCATTACTTTCTAACCAAGAAGAAACATGTTCTATCTCTTTTTATTGCATTAACCACTATGTCGTACGCGAATCGGACGCTTAAAACAAACTTAGCGCGTCCCATAAGTCATGTGACAGTTGACACATTTCACGATAGCGCGAAATCCAATCTAACTAAAAATATTCGCCCTAAACATGATGGGCGGTTTTTTCACTAAATATGTAATTATTGGGTTATCAATTGAATACGAATAACATTAGTGCTTGCCATAATGATAGACGCGTCCATAATTGTTATTCCTGAAATAGTTTTATTACATCGAACTACGCCATTCAAATTTGGGATAATGTTTACCCTGTTTGGCATGATGTGCTGCAGTGAATTCATTGCTGGCTTGCAGAATATCAAAAAAACCGTAAGTAAGTAAAGTTTATGTTCAACATTTTAATTTTAATTGCATGGTTTTAGGCGTAATGGTAAAGGAAATTGTTGCGACAGGAAGTGAATTCGTTTCCAATTATTATTTTGGCCTATATGATGTTGATGCAGTGCGTTTATATCATGATCACAAAGAAGGATCCGTCCAATATTCTTAGGAAAACGAGTTTTTAGACTGTGTGTGCGTGCAATATCAAATTTTGGTCGCTACGCGTCTTGCCTACCTTTCGGCATATGTCCATTCGGTGGGGTTTCTTTTTGAAATTATAGTGCTAATTGTAGTAAGTAAGCTACACGTGTACATTTATTTAAAATAAATACAACACCTTAACAATGATATCCAATTGGTGATAATACTCATTTAGTGAACATTCATTACGTTTGTAAAAGCTCACAATCCGAATCATCGTCAAATGAAATTGACAAATTCGAATCATCACTGCCATTATTAACACTTATTATAAAGTTCAGCAACATCAACCAAATATAACTTCTCTTTTAAATTAATCACTTTCCACATGTTCACACACTTTCTTCCAGTTGTCAGCTGTAATTTTTTCAAATTCTTCATTTGCCAGCTTTATAACTAACATCTTCCATTTTAAATGTAACATTTCTTGCTGCTATGCGATTTAAATAAATAAAAAGGCGGTTTATTTATGTTGTAAAGTCTCAAATCTGATAATTTTCTGTGTGATTTGTGCTAACAATTTGATTGACAGTAGTTATAATAAATAATGCGAATCTTGTCTTCCATGCTCAGGGTATCTCTATAAAGGATAGCGCTATACGTAATTAATGTGCCGAAAGTGATGGTAATAGATGGTACGTCCTTTTGAACTATGTTGGGGTATGGCTGTATCTATGTATTTATATATCTATGTGGGTATGTGAATCTCAGGGTAAACTAAAGTCGTGTAAACACCAATACGATCGCTTAAAGAGCAGCTTTATAGTAACCGCGTAGTACGGGAAGCTTTAAATGCTCTTCATTATTTGCTATACGTCCACAAATAAGAATAAGTTTGTTTTTTTGGGATATCTAGGCGATTAATTAATTGACGTTTGTTAATTTATAGGTTGACAGTCTCAAATCGTGTCTAATCGGACAACTTCGGACAGACTCGTTTACCCTGAAACTCACATACCCAGGCGATGTCCTTGACCATATTTTAGTTACAATTAGCAGTCCATGTACTATATGGTCTAAGTTGCCAACTCTAAAAAATGTGTGCATTGTCGTAAATTGTATATACGGGGTGGAACCTCTCAACATCAACTACCAATTAACTAATAAAATAATTGCTCGCTCACACACCGCTCATTTTACTACTCTCGACGTGGGAATACCCAACTCTGATGGTGCAAACAAAAAGGTCTGTACCTGTAGGGAGGTCACTATCTTATATACCCAGACAAGATATGCTGGACCGAGGTAGACGTAGAAGCCACCCGAACTGATAACCACGTCATATATTAAAATTTATACTTCTATCCCGCACCATATGAGTCTTTAAATTCCTGGTGGCCTTCTACAAAGAAATGTTTAAAAATCGCGAGTATTCGAGGGAAGAGTAGTCATCGGACTCTCCCCATATTGTCTAAAAGAAAAATAAGTCATACCCATAGTCACCCCCAAACTCCAGTGCTCCTGCTCCTACACGGGTAAATATATACAAAATCGAAAAAATGTAGGACCATACTGGACAGATAGATACCTTTACAAGGTTCCACAGATCTAATTTATTTTTCTGGACAAGAAGTTGAATTGATAGTTTACACGCCACTGTAAATCACCCTGTATACACATGACGTAAATTTCCATTCATCCTGTCATTTGTGGATGTATAGTTAACCTTGTTTTTGTAAATGATTTATAAATGTTTGTTCTCCAAATATTGTACAGTTCTCACGGTATCTTAATACTGTTACTTGCCCTTACAGCAGTCATCGGTGATTATCTTGTGGAACACCTCCGTCTCCATCTACATAAGGCCTTGTTCGACAACATTACACATGCATTAATCGGGGGTATCTCGTGGCTTATTGTGTGCATGACATTCCGAAATCGTTATACACTACAAACCCTAATAGAGATTGCTCTCTGTACAGTTATAGCATCTGGTATAGATCTCGATCATTTTTATGCTGCTCGCTCATTTAGTCTAAAGGTAATATGCACAACAACATTCATTAATGCAGTAATCTTATTTAGGATGCAACAAGTTTGAAAAATAGACCGGCTTTACACTGTTCTTCTGTTCCCTTGATAGTTGTCTTCATATTATTCTTAATTTCGTACACTTTACGTGAGAGATGGTTGCTGAGAGTTGCTCTCATTATTTTCACTGCATTTTCTAGTCATCATACAAGAGATGCAACTAGACGAGGATATTGGTTCTATCCATTTGGTTCAACTCCATCAATCCCATACGTTGTATATATTCTGTTGACCATTCTTATTCCGTATTTGGTTTGTTTAATTATAAACTTTACTGATAAACAAAAAAATATCATTAGTCAATCAATTGTAAATATTATATAAAATACAACCATTTAAACATTGATTTAATTCTTTTTTTTTAAAAGTGCTTGCAAAATATGATTATTTAAATGTAGGTATTGTAATGTAAATTAAATTATGTGATTTATTTATGTACAATTAATTATTAAATTCAAGTTCACAGTAACTAACATTAACAATAAAGAAAGACTCAAAAACTAAACTCAATTATTATATATAGGACATATAAACGGTCTCAAATAGTCTAAAAGGCTTATCATAGATCTCAGAAAGAATCTTTGATTATATACTACAAAGGAAAGAATGAGTCATATTCGCATTCATTCCTTATCGCCGATGACTAATCCTTAATCGACTTGATGGCGCTCTAGAAAATTCGCTATGGTATTAATAATGTTTATAATTTGTAGAAACATGAAAGCTCCATACCTAGCATAAATACTGGATATCTCTCGTCTACTAAAAATTGAAATGTAACAGACTACACCCGACCAAACTAAAAAGAAATGATTGTGGTGACGAAATAAGTCCGACCAATCAGCTCCTATTCATTGGCTCCTAGAACCACTCAGATGACATCACGACTTAACAATACTGCAGGAGAATGCCACAAGATGTCACAGGCGCTTGTCACTTGTACTTTTGCGTGGGTGTTTTGGGCTTCGCACAAGGTTGCCGGCTCATCTTTACGTGATTGGTTGTAGGTTTATGACGTATTTGGACTGAAGCGTTTCAAATTCGGACTAAAAACACAGCTTTCCAATAATTTATTTTGGGTTTATTTTAAATAAAAATTGAGGTCTTTTTATTTTTAATGTACTTTGTAAATCAGAAATGAAAAATGAAGGCGGAATTCCCCTATTCTTATCGATTCATGCGTAATGCCGCAGAATATTTTAACCAAAGCTACCTATTGATCATTGCCTACAATTTAAGAAAACGTTATAATTCATCAAACGTAATACTAAATTCAATGGTAATACTGTGATCAAATCTACCTCGTCCTTCTCGTCCGTTCACAATCCTTCACCTTTGTTTTTAACATTTGATTCGCCTGAAAGGAGATTGATAATGACACCCCATTTTACTCTCACCTTGTACATTAGTCATGGGAGTGGATGTGCAGCGATCATACGAAGCAAGGTTATGTGACGTTGGGGTCTGTCAAGGCAACCTTAGAAAAATTCTAATATTAATAAATAAACAAATAATTTGGATTTTTATTATTTTATTCTTTCTCCAAAACCATGACAACGCGTTCCACAAAATATAATGCAATTAAGATGGACATAGACATAGAGAAATACAGAGAAGAACAAAATTGGTTAAAAGTGATACAATTAGCTGAGCATTTGAAAGAGCGCTCCCCAAATTCTGGTATGATAGCAACATATTATGAAAAACACTTATTCATTATTTCAGAATACTTGGCTAACTTTTTAATTGGGGAAGGTAAATTGGAAAAATATTTGGAAGAATGGCCCCCAATCGAGGCAAACATTCATCGTGCCAAAATTGGTCTAATGGAAGCCAAACAGTTCTTGGAATTGGCATCTAGTTCAGAAGGAATAAAGGTTCTACATGATGAGTACCACTGTATTACTCAAACAAACCTTTGCAGGCAGAAGTAGCACTAGATTCGTTTTTGTTATTAGGAAAATTGTATTACGCTTGTGGCCAGTACACTGATAGTTTGAACAGTTTTAAGTCTGCTGATTTAGATGCACTTTCCGAGAAGAAATTGCCATTGTATGTATTCTAAAGGCGATAGGAATGTTCCTTATGTGTGAATTGTAGGCGTAGTTTACGAACAGTTGCAGAATCGTTTGCCATTAAAGCATTGTGCAATGTGAAGGTATCTGCGGGTCCTAGTAAGTTCAAGAAAGCAGAAAGAGAGGTGGAAACACTTCATTATTTTGAAGTAGCCTCCGATCTTGCCCTTCTATACGCTCAGGAAGTGGAAAAGCAACAATACACCTCCATTTCGAGCACTGGTACGCATTCTCCACAACCGCCAGCTATACATAAGACACTGAGCCCAATTTTGGAACAAGCGCTACACGAAGCACCTCTTATGTTACTAAGACAAGGAAAACCGTTTGCCGCTCTGGAAAGGTACAGAATAATTCTAAGTGCTGTCGAAGCTCAGACGGTCCACACAATACGTTTGAAATTTTTGTGTCAGTTGGCCGAATTAATATTACGCGGCACTGTGTGTGACGATTATAAGCCGCCTACGATGACTATGAAAGATTCTGCGTGGAAGCCAAAACAATACAGTTCCTTAAACCAGGTAATTTTGTGTAAGCTTTGCAGTTGATTAGTATCTTCTGTCAGTTTGTACCTAGAAATGAATGCGAAGAATCACTTTTGGTGTTATTGGTTGCGGAAGCAATGGCCGTACGCCATACAGTGTTATCTCAATCCGTCGAATTTAAAGAAGCCAGATTAAATGCATATCGTGACGCAACTTTTGTCTATGATTTACTTACCTTGGCTACTGCGAGATGGGGTCAGTTTGCATTATTACAAGAGGTATGTAATTATCATGTGAAACTGAGGAAAACCACAGAGGCATGTAACAATAGATAATGCAATTATGTATAGGATGATTTAGTCTAATTTCTTGCACTAAGCGCTACTCCTACCAATTCTGCCTGGAATACAGTAGGGAGTTTGCCTAGCGGCTGGGTGCCTGTGCCAGCAAGGGCATGCTAGTCTTTCCACATGATTAAGAAGTGCTAAGGTTATGGAGAGTTTGGTTCTAGGCTACCAGATGGCACAACAGAAGATACTTCCTGTCTGAGAATTGTAGGTGATTTTACAATAGCAGGGGAGCTGGAAGACCCTCTACTGTTCTTCTTGTGAAGAGAAAGTTCTCTGTGCTGATGTGCACTGCTCTTTGTTACGCCGTGATTTCTATTGTTTCAAAGGTTGTTTTGTTTAATGCCCTCTCTGTGTCTATGGATACTCCCAGTGTGGACTGTCAATAGTCCAACGATCATCAATCCTCCCTACGACGCAGTGCAGAGCTAACTGTAGATCTTCCTTGGTGAGGGTGCAGCGGAAACCGTGTTAGCGCCGTATCCCTTTTGTATCTATCGCACAGTATTTCAAGCGTCTTAAGAAGAAACGACATTAAACTGATTGGGCGATATTCTTTAGGTGTAATCATCTTTGCCAGATTTGGAGATAAAGTCAATCTTTATCTCCCTCCATTGTTTATAGGTATCTATGTATCTGAAAGTGATACAGCCTGTATACACGGTGTCCATTTTTCGAGTGCCACTATGGGGATCTCACTTATCTTAAGAGATAGAAGGTTGGTTAAATGGGGGCAAAGTTGCTAATTTTCGTGCTGAATAAGAATCTGAAAAGAAATTTGAAATATTTTGAAGATATCGCAAAAAAACGAAAATTTCTGATCTTCGTTTTTAATTTTTTTATGATAAACTAATCGTAGTAGAAATTTCTAATTAACACATTATTCGGACACTTTTTAATGGAGATTTCAAATATGGCATCCAGTTTTTAACTTTTAAGATGACTGAGAAGCACGTGGCTTGGTTTTTCTTATGGGCGCCATTTTGAATTTTCACATTTTGAGATTTCGCCTTTTTTTCTCTTTACAACGATAATAATAATAATAATATATCACACATGGTGGCTCAGTATCACACTTTTCCTAAAAATACAATTTTTAATTTTTTGAGAAGAGTGCTTTGAAAAATAAAACGTTCTTTTGTTGTGAAGAAAAGGTTGACTTATTTCATGTAGTGTCATTTAGGTTTATGCTAGTTGTATTGCGAAAATGCCTTTTCCAAGTGCAGATCAAAGAGATATGATCCAAATTTACTATACTTCTCATCGAAATGCCCACATGGCTGCTGCAACATACTTGCAGCGTTATCCAGAGCGGCAACAACCTAGTTTGAGGTATTTTTCTTTGCTGCATAAAAACTTGGGCGAATATGGTTCTTTTAAAAGATGTAGACAGCAATAGGGTGATAGGCCCAATGAATATGAGCAGGCAATTTTGCAAGCGGTAAACATTTTAGATGCTTACAACTACTAATCTATTCATCATTTAATAATTGTTAATTAGGTGCAAGACAATCCATCTGTCTCCTCAAGAAAAGTTGCAGCCCAGCTGAATTTGCCATTCCATCAAGTTGTTTGGAGAACTCTTAAAAATATCGGCCTTGGGCAATTTATATACCCCAAACGCTCCATCCAGGAGATCATGAACGACGAGTAGCTTTTTGTACGTTTGTCAATAATCAGATTCAAGAAAATGCAATTCCTTAATACAGCAATGTTTAATCGCCACAATATAATAATAAATAATAATTTATTAGTGCGTTATCAAAGTTTTGCATAAGTGCAATGAACATTACTGATCCTCATCAATTTCAAGAACGACGACCACAAATACGTTTTAGCGTTAACGTATGGGTCGGTTTATTGGGCGATACAATAATGGGTCCTTACATGTACAAAGAGACTTTAAATGCTGATCGGTACCTCCATTTCCTGAGGACATTTCTAACCGATTTTATTGGTAATTAATAACGTTCCTCTTTATCGTTTGAACTCAATGTGGTTCCAGCAAGATGGCGCACCGCCCCACAATGCTAGGAGGGTTGGGGAATGCTTATCGGAATTGTTCCCCAATCATGTTATTGCTCATAATGGCGATGTACGCTGGCCGGCGCGGTCACCTCAGCTGTCTCCCTTGGACTATTTTTTGTGGGGAACAATGAAAAATGAAATTTGCAAAACATTGCCAGCCGACCTTGATGAACTTCGTCTTAGAATTGTGAGCACTCTCAGACACAAGATTAGAAGAAGGGATGTGTCAAGAGCCATAGCAAATCTTAGGAAAAGAGTGGCACTATGCTCAGAATTAGGAGGTGGGCAATTTGAACACATGTTCACATTTTATGTATAATTTTCTTGAATAACGAAGGTTTAATTCTGTTCAGATGAACATCGAATTTCTACTTCTCTGACAACGCTGCAACCAGACAGATGGATCAAACTGTCAAACTTTTGTTTACAACAAAAGAACGTTTTGTTTTTCCAAAGCACTCTTCTCAAAAAATTAAAAATTGTATTTTTAGAAAAAATGTGATACTGAACCACCATGTGTGAGATATCGTTGTAAAGAGAAAAAAAGACGTAATCCCAAAATGTCAAAATTCAATATGGCGCCCATAAGAAAAACTAAAGTTGCCACGTGTTTCTCCGTCATCTTGAAAGTAATTAAAAACAGGATGCCATATTTGAAATCTCCATTAAAAAGTGTCCGAATAATGTGTTAATTAGAAATGTCTACTACGATTAGTTTATCATAAAAAAATTAAAAAAGAAAATCAGAAATTTTCGTTTTTTTGCGATATCTTCAAAACTATTGAAGATATTTCAAATTTCTTTTTAGATTCATATTCATCACGGAGGTAGATGACATAACATCCAGTCCTTATATTGCAGGGGGTGGTATTATGGCGTCCATTCCTGGTGATTTGCATGCTGAGAATGATTTCACAGAGTGAAGAGGGTCCCCTCTGGCCAGTTAGGGGGAAGCGAGCGTCTCTGAATAGCTCGGCTGTCTCTGAGAACGGCCAACTATTTACATTGCATGGAATGTATGATCGCTCACTAGCAGCAAAAGTTTTCGTAAAAAAGACGCTACCAGTGGATGCACCCTACCATATTTTTGTTTTTTTTTCTCCCAGTGAGTTATCAAATGCCAGCTGGGCATTCATTTCACAACTGCACTGACTGACTAGTTTTTGTATAATATTCTTGACGTTGCGCTGGATTGGTCCTCCTTTCGCTATTTAAATCTCGCTCAGGGGGCCGATTCTAACTGATTTCGACGGTTGAAATTTCAGTAGTTGCGTCGAAATTGCGATCGTAACCATCTATCGGTGTTATCATGAACTACTAATATACGTCATTGAAACGTCATAACTTTTCTACCGTTGAAAATAAATTCAACTAGACTAGAGTGGTTAAAATTACGATTTCAACGTCGAAATAGAAGGGATAGCGACAGTGCGCGCTTTGTTATTCGGAAAGTCGCACGTGGTACCTCAATTTTGTGTTTTGGTACACTGTTTACATTTTTTATCCGTGGCTTTGTTTTGCTTTACTTTTACCTACGTATCTTACAATGGCGGAGACTAAAATCACATCCCAACAAAAACCATTTTAATTTCCGTCATGGAGGAATAATAATAGGTACGATTGTAGCTACTGTAGGGTTAGAGTCGAACAAGGTTTTGTTTTTAACAGTGGCGTAACTAGGTATTTTTCGAAGCGGTGCCGGATCAGGTTTTGGCGCCCTACCAGATTTTGGCGCCTAATCAGTTACCATTGCGCTCTAATTAATAAAACACGGTAGGTACATTTTTGAGAGAAACTTTACACGAAATTTTAACAGCACTGCACCCTTTCGAATTTACACACAAATTTTGCATACTTAAATTTTAGAAAGATGCTTTGAATAACGAAATCTTTCACTGAATGAAGAATAGAAATACATTTATTTATAGTGTTTCCAATTCTCGCGTCAAATTTAACTATGGCATGGGCACAAGTCGTAGAAATGATTGCGTGCAAATGCTGGTTACACTAATACAGACTATTGTATAGATCACAAATAAAGTATTATTATTATTATTATTTTAAATCTGCAGCCTTTTCCTACCGCTGTAACTTTGTACTACAAGGGCCATCCAGAAAGTAACAGACGTTTTGAAATAAAAAATTAAGAAAGTGTAATAAACAACTTTTATTATATACATTTGGAAGCTACACTCTTAGGCTATTTTTCAACACAGTCGCCATTCATATTGAGGCACTTAAGATAGCGTGGTACAAGTACAAGTGTTTTGATTCAAACTGTGTATACATCCGCCGTTTGTGGGGGCGTCGGAAGCGGGTACCGACAAAGGGAATGTGGTAGCTCTCGACAAGATCTTACTAACGGTGGAGTCAAAACTTTAAACGCGAATTCCGGGCGAACGGGATGTCGGAGGTGGATACCGACAAAGGGAATATGGGGCCCCCGACAAAATCTTATTGATTGTGGTTAATAAAAGTACTGATCTGCCACACAAAATGCGCTGAAATCCCTTACATCTCACACAAAGACTTTGATAATTTTTTTACTTTTTAACAATGTTCGATTCATCCTAAAGGAGCGTAAATTTAGTTTTAATTATATTTCAGTGCACCCTGTAGTCGACTTTAGCAAAGTATTAGAATTTAACTGCCGTTCTTGTCCCTATACAGTACACCATGTATTGCCCATCCCGACTTAGTGCCCTCGGTGCTTCAGCGCGCCCTCCCCCATTCAGAGCGCGGTGCCGCGGCACTTTTGGCACCTACCTAGTTACGCCACTGGTTTTTAAAGTTTAAAATAGTTCAAAATCAGACAGCCAACTTAGCAAAATATAAGAGCAAACTTAAAGAAACGTAAACTTCCTATTACACCCTAAGAGTAGAAATTTGGTGTCATGGCGCCGTCGAAATTCTTTTTCGACCGTTGAAATCAGTTAGAATCAGCCCTCAGGAGAAAAACCGAAACGTACCTTTTTAAACCAGTAGAAAACCATTTTTCTTACGTGTTCGGCTTTAAGCAAAACGGAACGAACCGCAATACGTTTCTTGTTATCGCCAGACATACTTTCGTTCACGTTCGCTATGAAGCGGTACGTGTGGAAACTTCCTTATGTTGAAAATACAAATTCAAAACGCAATTTTTGAAAAGGTAAAGGGTAATCAAGCATTTATCGATCTTAGAATCCAAGGGGTAATGAAAGATACCAAAGGGAGACTTTCTTCCTTGTTTCCAGCAGACAAGTCGGTGTATGTTTTTTGAAGAAAATGAGATGGTGCTAATAAAAATAAATTAAAACACAAGAGCTTTTGGACTGCCCATCTTATGCATTGTTATTGTTACATGGGAGATGTAACTTATTTTGAAATTTTAAGCAGTGAATTGGTGGTTTTCCTCGCCCACCCCCCACTTTTTAAGTAGCAATTATAACTTATCTTTCAAGTCGTTTGAACGCGCAATGAAATTTTCGTTTGAAGAATCTCACGTGTGGCGACAACACGCGTTAAGCTTAATAACAACTGGCCGATATGTGGATGCTTTAGGGATATTCAAAGAAGTAATTCGTCTTGAACCGAACCAATCCGTAAATTGTTTGCTTGTAGCACGTCTTTGCTATGAGCATTTAGATTTACCTTTTGAAGGGACAGATTTCAGTATGGAGGCGAAAAAAATTGAATTTTCTCACTCTACCGGCCTTCTTGGTAGGTGCTACCTGTACATAGGGATTGGTCATCAGTTACAGGCGAAAAATACGAGCGTTAAGAAAGAAGAACAATTCAACGAGAATGCCCTTAAGTCTTTTATTAGGTAAGCTTTTATGTAGTATCGGTTACGTTATTGATTGTGATGGTACAGTGCCTTGGAAATTGAACCGCATGACCATTTGAGTGAATATTATCTCGGATTGCAGTTGGCTATAATGGGACGTATCACTGAAGCGCTTGCTCATGTACAAACTGCACTTGATCTACGATATGAAAGCTCTTCCACCCTACATTTGCTAGCTTTATTATTATCTGCCAACTCTCAGCATGTCGATGCTTTAGATGTAGTGGAAGCTGCGCTCCTAGAGTATCCCGACTGTTTAAACTTAATGTATGTGAAAGCGTACCTAGAATTGCATCTGAATGGTGGAGAGGTACTTTTGACTGATTCATAGACCAGATTATGTAAGCTAATGATTTTAGAAAGCACTGATAACTGGTAAACAAATGTTGGAGTTGTGGAAGAACCTTTACGAAGGCCAAATCAGCTCCGATGTTCCTGAATGTGATCGTAAGAGCGACACACGTTCGGTCTTCCAACTATACACATCGGAAATGTCGGATAAAGATTCGAGTAAGATAAAATTTAGGTGCGCGCACCGGCAATCTCTGTTTAGGTTCTTTACAGGCGCACAGCATGGCAGCTTCACGAGTTGAACACGCACTAAGTGAAGTTGCGAGCTCAATTAGCAGCTTTAGTCCGCGACCTGGTCCTCAGCGTGCCTGGAAACTTCAAATGGAGGTCTGGCTTTTATTAGCTGAAATTTACTTGACACTCGACGAACCGGCGTATGTTCAGCAGTGTATACAGGAAGCCACGCAAATATTTCCACTTTCGCATCACGTTATCCATATGGTAAGTTCTTTAGTAGTCGGAAGAGCACGTTCAAACACTGTGTTGCAGCGTGGACTACTGCATATGTACAAAAAGGAATGGGCGGAGGCAAAGTTATGTTTTCAAAATGCCGTCGCAATCAATCCACAACATATTAAATCGCTTCAACAGTTAGGCCTTGTATATCATTATATGGGTTCTCAAGGACTAGCAGAGTCAACATTGCGTGAGGCTGCTAAGATTGATCCTAAAAATCACATCACATGGTATGTGAATTTTAACTAAAGTTCAAATATGAATGAAGCAAAAGAAAGGGTATGGAACAATATTTACAAATTAAAATAAAATTCAAACGTTAAAATGTTGAAGAGCTATGTCCCAACATTCTTTCTATCTGCTTCATTCTTATTTGATTTTGATTAAAGTAGAAGCTAGCAATGTTATGAATATACACTGATGACATTTTGTTTTCGGTTACAGGTACAATTTAGGAAAAGTTTTGGAAGCCTTAGGCGAATACGAAGATGCAAGCAATTGTATGGCAACTGCACTTAATGTGGAAACAACTAGTCCTATTCTTCCATTTACGTCGGTTCCTTTGTGCTTTGAATAATACTATGTACTAGGTGTACCTATCTATAAGTTATTTTGGTGCATAAGTAGTGTGTTCTTCCAGACATCACATAGTTTTTAATTCTAGTCGTTAGTATATTGGTGTTTCTTATTTTTTATCTATTGCATTTACTGTTATACTACTAAGAAAAACCTGCTGTGATTCTATTGTTTCAATTTTCTTGCCTGTTTTGTAAATTGCGGTTGAGCGACACTGTTATGATTCCTTAGAAATTTAGTTGGTTAATGTGTATTGTTACCAACGAGTATTAAAGTTCTCGCAAATAAATTTATTTTGACAGTAGCTGAATAACTAAAATTTTTATTGTAAAAAAGAGGTGAAGAGTAATCTCACTTAATTTAATGAGCGATTGCATTTCAATAATTTTGCATTTTCCAATATAGCAGGGTTGCTTACACAACCTACCAACTGTTGTCAGTATTTGAATAGTATGTAGCTTTTAAAATAATTTTATGTTCTTGTGTATAGTTAGTTTAAATTATTGGAATCTGATTGTATCTATACTGTTATTATTCAGCTGCTGTTAATTAAAATAATTTCTGTGTCTGTCTTTACTTTTCTGAAACATTTTTTTTACTTTTTTAAGGGCCAGCCATCCGTTTCCAAAAAATTCCCATAGATATTAACTGTTAGATAAGTTCAATCTATCTCCAAAAATGCAAGAAATCAAAATGCCAACTTCTACCTATTAAATGTAACTGACAATGTACAATGGAAACAATTGTATCCACAATCATATCAGTGCAAGTTAAATGAGCTTTTGAAGGAGAATTTAAGACCGCGGGAGTCTAGGGGTGTATGAAATACCCCCCCTCCCCTCCCCCGGAAAAGAAACCGATTTGTAATGTGCTGGAGCTGTAGACTGGGGGAAGTACCCCCCACCACACCTGGTGAATTGTGTATTATATACATGCCCCACAAAAAAAAAGACAGTGTGATGACACTCCCAAAAATAATCTCATTGTCCAAAACATTTTAGGGTAGAATTTAACACGGGAGAGGTGGGTGTGGAATGGAATACCTCCTAGAAAAAGAAATCGATTCCAAATGAACTGGGAACCACCCAGACTCAGTGGATTATGTACTATGCCCCACAAAAAAAGACACCTTGTGACACTAAACGTGCTGAGTGGTGGTGGGGAGGGGGTCGATTCCTAATGTGCTGAGGGCTGTACACTGTGGGAGGTATTTAAAAACGCGGATTGTCCTAAACATTTTGGGGTAGAATTTATCACTGGGGAGTATAGAAGACTTCCCAAGAAAAAAAAAATTTCTAATGTGCTTGGGCCCCCTGGTGGAGTATGTGTTATGCTCCACAAAAACAGCGTGATGACGTCCAAGAATAAAATCATAAACATGCTAATTGTCCTAAATAATTTGGGGGAGAATTTAACACTGGGGGGTATGGAATACTCCCCAGGAAAAAGAACAGGATTATTCTAATGTGCTGGGAGGGGGTGTAGAACTGTAGACTGCGAGACCCCCCAATGGATAATGTATTATCCACCACAAAAAGGACAGTGTAATACGACACTCTTAAAAAAAATTACAAAAACATACCGATTGTCCAAAACATTTTGGGGTAGAATTTAACACCAAGGGTCTAGGAGGAATAGACCTCCCCACAGAATAAAGAAATCGATTTCTAATGTGCTGGGAAACCCACTAGATCCGGTGGATTATAATATATTATTATGATTTATGGCCCACAAAAGAAGACAGTGTGACGACACTCCCAAGAAAAAAATCATGAACAATTACCTATCTTAAGAATTTTTGGGGGTGAAAGGAAAAAGTAATCGATTTCTAATGTAGGTATGAAATAACCCCAAGGCCCGCCCGACAGATTTTGTATTATGTCCCACAAAAAGAACATGGTGTGGGGATGACACTTCCAAGAAAAAAATCATAAACATGCTGATCGTTCTAAATATTTTACGGGAGAATTTATAGCACCAGGAGCGGGGGGTCTGGGGCCATATCCTCCAACTATATAAAATAAGAGTAGGTTTGATAAGTTTGTCTCAAAAGTACCTAACATGATTCTCACAGGACACCATTACACAAACAGGATCTGCAGAATATAATACGGTAGAAGGTGTTTGACAATCTTTAATCTGCTTACACTGTCCAGAATTTCTGGGCTTTTAATCCACTAATAATTTTTGAAAAATAATATGGATCATCGAAAAAAGTGTCAGTATAATTAATATAGGTATTGTTTATACACCTTCTGGAATTGCTGTGCTCCTGCGCTTCTGTACTTCTAATATAAGAATTTTTTGAAGGAATCAGAATGTTATCAGGAGCAGTAGCCCCTTTTAGTCAGTAAAACATTACTGTTAAAATATATTGTTAGGTATACTGTAAAAACGTTCCTCTGTAATCTTGACACAATCATTTTAAGAATTAAAAAAATTCGTTAAGCCGCTTATTGTGACCAAAGAGGCGAAGAGTGCACTTTCAAATTCTTTTTTCGATTTTAATAGCCCCTATGGAGATTTCATGCCTTATCGAGAAAGAGACAAACATGGAATAATTTTTAATTTCTGATCCAATGACACCAATACCAAGTTTGTAAGTGGTGTAGTTCCGGAGCCTTTTTGTGACTCAGACGGACAGACAGACATCAAGAGCGAAAAAGTACACTTTATTTTTTTTAAGTGAACGTGCACTAAAAATTAGTACAGGAAACAAATGTGTTTGGCCATTTCACACAATTTTTACAATCCTAGTGTGAAAAAATCAAGCGAACATGCACATGTAGGTACATCTTTTGTTGCCTCATACGGCCTCAGCTTGCCTCATTTGCGTTCGTGCTCAAGTCTGACGCATAAGCGCATGTATACGTAGGACTAGGTACTTCATTTTAGGTCTCCGCTACTTCGGTCATTGTTTAGGAAAAAAATCCTAAATACCAAAATTGGAACATTATTGTCATATTTTCCATAAAATTCTCTCCTTTCATTTATCATTACTATCTCTCAAAATCGCAGGCTTTAATTAGTACTGTACATACCTTCTATTGTAAAGAGCTAGTGAAATTAATGGTACCTATATGATGAAATTTGGGATGTTATACCCAGTACAATTAGGTACCTTCAGAATTAGTTTTGACTTTGGATTAATAGTAGAATTCAATATGAAATTTTGGAGGGCGATTTGTTCCTTGGAGAAGACCAAAATTTACAATTTTTTTCTTACAGATTCTTACACAAACGTTAATAAGTTTGCCCAAAATTCGCGGCCCGGTCTTAAGAAAGTTGATTCAGAAACTGAGCTATGAGCCAGTGCAGATCGACGAACAAACAAGCACAAAATTAAGAATATATATACATATACAAGTATTCCAATTTCGTAATAGTTGTGTATAAAAACAAAATACCTAATTAATATGTATATAAGCGATGTGAATAAATGTAAAAACGTATTGTCCAAACAAGGATTTTCTTGACTTTCTTTCAGTATCCATAAAACCAAAGGATTCTGTTGTGCTACTGAAATGGTCTTCCTACAATTTCGAATACAACTTAATGAGGTAATTAGCGCTATTTGGGATTGATACACAATCCTTAACACGTAACAGGTAAATATTTAAGCAATTACAAATAGAGGTAAGTATTGCACCGTTTAATTAACTTGTAGATTTTCCTTGAAATTGTCATAAACGCCTGACGCAATTTCCACGAGCATGTATTCTTGCAATTAGCGGGTAATCGGAAAAAGGTGTAGAGTTGTTTGATAAGACAATTAAAGGTAGATACAAATGACCTTGAGCTATCCCCATTTTTTCACCAACTTATTTCTTTTAAACTTGGGATAAATGTAACAAACAAATAGGAATTTTTATCTCACAGTCGATTGTTGCCAGGACGTAGTTACTAAAACTTTTCCGACTATTATTAATTACACGATAAGTAAATAACGATTTCAAAAGTTTTATAATGAACCACAATTTCCTCGTGATTAGATGCGAAGCTATTTTTAGAAAATTGTGACCTATTCCTTAATATTTATGCCGGGTTTTCAGAATCTCGAGTTGAAACACCGAAGCGGGCATTACGTGCACAAGAGACCGCACCCGCAAAACGCATTACAGTCATGAACGGCAAAATACCGACGCAATCAGCGCAATAATATTCGAATTCTCGCGTGAAAGGCGGGTAGTTTGAGCTTGACGCATTGCAGGTGCGTTGTGGCCAATCGCGTCGCTTCCCTTGCCCAAAGTATGTTGCGAACAATCCGCACCACATCAACATGCTACACTGTAAAAGTAGTACCGCAAATTTATATATTTGAATTATAAACTGCGTGCAGGTGTATACCGTAATTTCGGCGAACGTTTCGGTTTTGGTTAGATCGAATTGAAAACGAGGAGTTGTTTAATTTAAATTGTAACCGGAATCGAACGGCGGCGTGGGAATATTTACTGGTTTATGTCAGCGTCGCATCATTGCGCTTGACCGTAGCGGTAACAGCAGCAGAATCAGTTTTCCCCCCTCGTTTACCCGACCCGTCGTTCCACAACAAAAACGACGACAGTTGGCTGCTGCATTCGGTCGTGGTTTGTCATTACGCCGTGGTGCTTCATTGGTGTTATTTGGACACGGTGCAATACGCCTAGTTCTTTAAATCTTAAAATATCAAAATGGTGAGTACATATTTTAAATCATCCGATATATTTTTCGCTTAATACCCTCGGATTGTTACTTTTCTCGTAATTATTTTTCGTCGGACGTACGCCATTAACGCTTGTAAGTGGCTGTCAAAACCTAAGGATTAGTCATTAAACCGGTTTCGGTTTTTGCCGCATTGCGGATCTCTAGAGGAATGAATCAAATAATTACCAAATTAATATTTTCTCGCATTTTAGAACCGTTCCGTTATCGACTTAATATTATATAAAATGCGTAGTAAATATTGATTGATACATCGGCCTTTTGGGGTTGCCTACGATATATTAACCCCATTTTTTTTCTAACGACCAACAGGCTGACCAACTAACTGAAGAACAAATCGCAGAATTCAAAGAGGCGTTTTCGCTGTTTGATAAAGATGGTGATGGAACAATCACAACCAAAGAATTAGGAACCGTTATGAGGTCCTTAGGACAAAACCCTACGGAAGCGGAACTACAGGATATGATAAACGAAGTAGATGCGGACGGTAATAGATTACTGGCTTGTCCGCGGTCGTACGATATTATATAATTGTTATCCTTGTGCAGGTAACGGTACAATCGATTTCCCAGAATTTCTCACCATGATGGCACGTAAAATGAAGGACACAGATAGTGAAGAAGAAATTCGTGAAGCATTCCGAGTATTTGATAAGGACGGTAACGGATTTATATCTGCAGCAGAATTACGCCACGTTATGACCAACCTGGGTGAGAAACTCACGGACGAAGAGGTCGATGAAATGATTAGGGAGGCCGATATCGACGGAGATGGACAAGTTAATTACGAAGGTAAGCTTGTTACTGATAGTTATTTGTATGCTGCACATTCGGTGTAAGTACTTTTGGTACATACACTTTAGATGTTGATTGTCAATTTTGTGATCGAGTATGTACTTAACCTACATACGGTGAAGGATTATAGTGCAAGCTGCATCATTGTGAGGATTCTTTAAATGATGTAATATGGAATTCTTACAAGTTTATAGCGGTTCGCATGGATTATATGTGTTTACTATTGGAAGTGTACAAGGTTCTCGCTTCCTTTAATAATTATTTTTTACCTTTGTAAGGGTTGTTCTATATTTTCATTGATTTTTTTGCAGTGTCAGTGTCCTACATTAAGTTTTATCTTATCAAAAAAAGTTCACTGTTTATCTACCTTGAGTTTTTTAAGTGACAAGTCCAAGGTGCTCATTGTAACCACAGAGTGCTCAAAAAATGTGTTGCCGGGGAGTGGTTGATTCATTAATATCTTGTGAAGTAGCCCATTTGAATTTTTTTGACATTCCATATTCAAACGCAATAAATAAAACGTTTTATACCTATAAGGTGGGTGGGATCAATTGATCCATACAAGAATTATTATTGCTCACGTTGCCTTCTTAGGCAGTGTAGTAGCGTGACTCGCATGATATGAGACATATCCTGTACATGAATTCTAATTTTATGCTTCAGAACATTTTATATCAAATACCATTGTGTCTAGGTATGATTTAAATTGCGTTTTATTTTATTTTTTATCATTTTAATTAAATTTATGTTAACAATTTATTTTTTAATTTTGCATATGAAAGCGAGAGCATGTTTGATTAATTTAAAAATAAAATCTGTGTATACACAAGGCTGTTTCAAATAAAATCCGTCTTGGGTTTGTCAAACTGTTTTAAAAAAAATCCTAATCGACACATTGTTTGTCCACGTCATTTCTTTACTTTTCAATACACCTTATCCACCTGTCGGTCAATCCTTCAAATCACATAATATCATGTGGCATATAAATGCTGAAAAATTGTTAATTTACTCTACCAGAGGCAAAAGGTATGCAATTTATTTCTTAGATCACTACAGTGTCCCAAATTCTAGAGTGACCAATGGGACCTTAGAAGCCGCAAGAGATACGAAAATGATTGTATTTTTTTAATGTTAATTTTTGCCAGTCAAACGATATATCACAATTATAAAATCAAATAATGCTCCCAATATGTGAAGCCCATACTTCCCATTTAAAAAATTGACGGTTGTAACTGTCACTTGAGGGCAGGGGCGCCGACTACGTGGGTGCTTCGGGGCTTAAGCACCCACAGAAAAAGTTATGTGGGTGCATTGCACCCACAGAATTTTCCGGTTGATATTTGTCTATTTAGGTCTTTTTTCTCGATAGTTACTAAACACGAAGAAATTTAGATATATTTTTTTACTTTACTCACACGAAATAGCAGGAAAGATTTCTATAAATATTTTCCGTACGGCGTACAGACTACAGTAGTTGTTGAATTTGAATGTGACTACATTTGTAGAATCTGTACAGATCGTACAGCATTTTTATGATATCGAATTATCGAAATGAAATTACATCCGTCATCCGTTACATACATCGTCGATCGCCATCGTTAATTCTTATGAAAAATGAAATAATAGGTATTCGGTACATGAAGTTTTCAAAGCCGCAGTCCCAGGCCAGGTCCCAGTCCGGGGTTCCCAACGTGGGCGATTTATCGCAAAATGGGCGATACAACATTCATAATTGCTCCTATTTTTTCACATTTACGATATATCGGAAATTGGGCGATTTTGAAAACGCTTATGCGACTTCTTAAATTTAATTCCTTAGTTTATTTTTAATGACAAAGATTAACAGTACCTACCGACCTATAACTACACACATTTAATAATGTCATGTGTAGGTATAGTACCACCTAAAACAGAGGATATGAAAACTGAGAAGCTGTTGCAAATTAAAATTAACGGTATCAAATGCTTGACGCATCAACGAAGGTGTCGCACGCATATGCAGATTATTTTTTGCTTACGCTTACCTAACCTTTAATATAATTAAAATTAAAGTTATTTAAAGACTTTTATTCTCATAATCTACAGTTATGCCTTATGCAATAAAAATAAAGTTTTTTTATATAAATCGAAAATAAAAACTTCAAAATCTACTCGGTACTTGGTCAATACAATTTCTTTCATACACTAAAAAAGACTACACCTACGATAGACGGTTATATCTATCTGTGGACATAATATGTGAGGCTTCTGGCTTGGTGAGCACCCACATAAATTTTGATAAGTCGGCGCCCCTGCTTGAGGGGGTTGAAGATAGGGATCACATTTTCAGGTTAAAAAATGTCAATTTATAATTTAAATTTGACGTTTCAGGATTTTCTATAAATATGGACAGTAGCCGAAATAATGAAATCCATTTGGCTTTTCCACGCTTAGTAAATATGTTTCTTTGATTCACATATCGTGCATCTTTGCTAGAATGGTTTGCACCAAAGAAAACCTTTGTATGTATGTGAATCAATTTCAAACTAATTCAAATTGAAGTCGGAATTTTTCTTTTTCATTGCCAGTATACTTTTCACATGGAGAGAGCGCGTGCGTACCCCACTATCAGCTGTTACGTTACGTCCTTTTCTTTCTCATAGAACAGTAGCACGTGAGAGAGAAATAGCATACATAACAGCTGATTGTGGGGTACACATGATGTAAGAGAGTCTGTGCTTACTTTTCTGTAACTTTGCAAGTTTGTACTTGCAGCAGGTAAGTATATATTGAATTTTTCACAGGTCATACATACAGGTATGCTTATGGATAATTTCAGCTTAACAAAGAAAGAGTTGCGATTAATTATACAGGGTCCTGCAAAAAAGTGCGTCCTAACTCACTATTGATGGCTGTGCGTCTATAGAAATTATTTTGAATGTACGAAGTGTCCCATTTTTAGGTTGTCAATAAATAACTGATTTTTTTAAATAGAACACTGTAGATTTTTAGTTGTTTTGATGTTATTTATTAACCTCTGCATTGAAACCCGTTCACTTTTCGATTTGGGCTCCAGTGCTGCAAGCCAAATGGCCAAAATTAATTAAAAAAATTCTATCGCATGAAGTACTCAACATATGTGACATTGAAGGGGTATTATTTTTGCAATTAAATTCAATGCTTGTGTTTTCACAACTGCCTAATATACAGGGTGGCCCAGTCCCTTTAATAATGGCTATATCTATGTAACCGTTAATTGCACAGCTTCGGGGAAAAATTTTTTTTAACAAAATGGACGAAGAGAAATCGCTGGAAATTATTTTCAAGTTTCTAGCTTCGCCGCTAGAGGGCGTACGATTCATGGTTAAATAGAGTACTGATTTTTTCTAAAATATACCCCAACAAACATGCATAGCAATCTTGTGCAATTTTGATGCAGCATATATTGCTCTAGCTCATAAAATATGAGGGGTGTGGGGAGAGGAAAGTCTCTTTAAGGAATTGGATGTAACTTCGGATTAGCTCTCTTCATGGCATCAGATTTGTATAGTCTTTTTAGTAAATGTGATGAGTGGTAGAGGGCGCGATGTGACAATAACATAAACTTTGCAGGTTTTTGGGAAAATTTCAAATGGAACGATATAATTCTTATATGATATTATCAAATAAGATGAAAAAGTGAGAATGTCAGTGAAAACTGCATTTTGATATGTGTTTTCTAAGCAAAGATATGGCGAAAATACTAACATTCACAAATTTTAATTGCAATATTGATGCTCATTCAAGTCGCCTTTGAAACAAAAGAAACACAATTTCACGTAAAAACTGTCACAGTTTATCACAGTCTGTTAGCATCCTTTCATTAAACGTATTCGTGCGAATTATCACCACAATGGTTGTCCGGCACATTTCTTGGTAAGCGAGAGTATTCGGATTTGAGTTTTCATGGCCAGCTAAGTCATTCGACCTAACTTGCTTAGACTTTTATTTGTTGGAAAGGATAAAAGACGTGGTCTTTCAAACAAGGCCAACTACAAGAAATGATATATTGTCAGACATGAACATTTACGTTAATTATAATTATTATTTCTTTTATTATTTACTTAACTTTGACATAATTATCGGTTGCTATGTGTTCATTTGTTTTACATTGCAATTAAAATTGGTAATATTCGTATTTTTGCTATATCTCTGCTTAGAAAACAGATATCAAAATGCGGTTTTCACTGATATTCTCACTTTATTTGATAATATCATATAATAATTATATCCTTCCATTTGAAATTTTCAAAAAAAAAAACTGCAAAGTTTATGTTAAATGTCTCATCGCGCCCTCTACCACTCAACACATTTACCGAGATTTACTAAAAAGACTATTCATGTAAAATCTGATTCCACAAAGAGCGCTTTTTCCAACAAGACCTATTGTGAAAATCTGTTAACCTAATCCGAAGTTACATTCAATTCCTTAAAGAGGTGTTCCCCTTCCCACACCCCTCATATTTTATGAACTAGAGCAATATAATAATAACTTTATTTACGCCATAGGCATTTTACAAAATAAAAAGTAAGAAACAAACTTATAAAACACATTAAAATATCAAATACATGGTTATTTAATATTAACCTCGATAGTAACACTACGTTTAAACGAGAAAATAGTGGGACTGAAAAAGTCAATACTCGCACCAAACTCATTGATTAGGCCAACCATCCGATCCAATGGACTGTTCCGGAAATACAGCGTTCGATTGTGCCTAGTTTGCAGTAGGGGCATGGTACGGACGAAACGTTTTGGAACCCTGATGTTAATTTTTGATAAAATATCAGCAGAATTTAGGTGACCATTCAGTAATTTATACCCGAAAGTCAAAGTAAGAAATGTCCTTCTTTGTTTAAGAGGTTGAATATCGAGGAATATTCCAACATGTTCAGTCGAATCTATATGTATCCCATTTAATGATAGTTTGTACTTCATCATGCGCAAAAAACTCGATTGAATACGCTGTAGGCGATTGATGTGGGAAACATAATAAGGAGACCATATAACGGAACAGTAGTCCAAATGGGATCTCACAAGTGAGAAGTATAGTGTCCTTAGAGCTGTTATACTACGGAAATCGTTACACTGGCGTTTAAGAAGTCCAAGCATTTTACTTGCCTTCGATGTCACTTGGTCGTAATGGAGGTGAAAATTTAATTTCTTGTCCAGTATGATGCCTAAGTCTCTGATGGAGTCGACACTATCTAATAACTGACCACCAAGGTAGTAATTCGGCTCAGAAGGACTGTATTTTTTTGAAAAACAAATAGTGGAACATTTATTCACATTAAGCTGCAAGTCGTTGTTTAACACCCAGAGTTCTAATTACACCAAGTCTTGGTGTAGCATTGCAGTGTCATTGATACCACCAATAGCCCTGTATATCTTGAGATCGTCGGCGAAAAGCGCATGTTCAGATATAAATACTGATGAAATATCGTTAATGAAAGCCAGGAACAGTGGAGGACCAAGATGAGAGCCTTGTGGTACTCCTGATCTTATTACGAAAAAATTTGACCAGGTATCTTCAATGAGGACCTGTGCTGTACGGCTACTCAAGTAATTGTAGATCCATTTAAGCGCAGCTTCCCCCACACCATACTTCCTTAATTTGAAGATCAATATTTTGTGGTTTACTCTGTCAAAGGCTTTCGAGAAATCGGTATAAATCGAGTGTACATCATTGCCTTTCTCCAGAGAAACAAAGATGTAATTTAGATAGGAGAACAGATTTGTTTCAACCGATCTTCCGCTGATGAAACCATGTTGGTTGCTTGATAACACGTTACCAAGGGCCTTGGTGAACTGTGAGGCAACGATTGCTTCAAGTAGCTTTGGTATTGCAGATTGAATTGTAATGGGTCTATAGTTCCCGAAATCAGATTTGGGACCGCTTTTATAAACAGGCACAATCTTCGAATTCTTCCATCTGGACGGAACAACACCTTCTTTCAACGAAGATGTAAAAAGATGAAATAATGGTAAAAACAGTGACGTGGCACAGCTCCTTAGAAACACTGGAGGGAGCCCATCCGGCCAGGTACTACCCTTCACATTCATTTTAGCAAGCCTATCTTGAATGTCTGGTGCCGTAACTACAAATTTGACCAAGTCTATTTGGTCAAGTGTGGCGAACGAATTACCAGATTGAATACTTTCCACAAAGGCACTGGCGAAATGGTTAGCGAAATGATTGGCAATTTCATGTCGATCTGAGATATACCTGCCATCCTTAAACATTAATGGTAAGCTGTTAGATGACCCATTTAGATTATGATGAAATTTCCAAAACAATCTGGGATTGACAGTGATATTTTCTTCACAAGATCTGATAAAATTCTCATAACACTGCTTGGTCAATATGCGGCACTGATTGCGTAGACATGAGAAGATAGAGTAATCGTTTTTATGTGCTGCATCAAAATGATGCAAAATTGATACAAGATCGCTATGCATGTTTGATGGGTATATTTTAGAAAAAAAAGTCATTTTTCTACTTAACCTAAAGTCACTAGATATAGAAAGTACCGCAATCATCCGCCATTTTTGGGCAAATTTGCTGCTAACTTAAAAAAATTGACAAATAAAATCTGAATAGCTGTCATTTTTTATAACCTAACTTCATAGTACTGTCAGGTTTTATAAAAATACTAGCTGACCTGACGGACATTGTCCTCTTTCTTAGCTATGAATACCTATTCAATTCGGACTGGAATAAATAATAACAAAAAAAATTTGCTGTGGCTAGCACAGGTACCACCAGCCCCACCTGTGCATGCGCGATTCTGCCCTTTTATGTCTAAGAATATGTGTAGCAAATTTAGTTTAAATCGGTTCAACTGTTTAGCCGGAAAAGAGATTTTGACACACTTGCCACAAAATCTCCCCATCTCTCCCCAATATAATAAAAAATAAATGCACTCACTTCTATAGTTGCTTTTGGTGATTCAGAGCGAGCAACGTACCTTTTTTTGCGCCAAATGCCGAAATTTGAGTAATTATTGTATTTCAGGATATGAATAAAAAAATGTACAGAATCTGGCCCATTTCCGGAAACCAAGGATTGCAGTGGCTCAGGTGGCCGTACCTATGGCATCAATTTCACTTGGCCACTGGCACAACATAATCCAGGGCCTTCAGTAGCCTTGCAATGTGGACACACAAAGTTCTTTGGTCTAATAGCAACGATTTAATGTAAACTGTAATCGAAAGGGGAAAAATAAATTTCAACATTTCTATTATTAGAGTAGTCTCAAAATGAGAGGTACATCATGACGTCATCACTTTCTGCGCGTATTGTTGCCACCAGTGGCGTATCATAGGGTATTTAAATTGAGGTTTGAAAGTACATTTGCTGTGTGAAGCATTTGAAATGCACTTTATTAATTTTATAAAATAAATGTATGTAGGTGTGGTACAAATTAAATATGTACAGTGCAAAGTATCGTACAAAACCTTACCTATGATATAATACAAATTGAATAAGTACAACTTGCACACGAAATCACGAACGGCAATGCACAAATGTCAACGCGTGCGCTCCCCTTAGGAGCTATCATGGACTCTCCCGGACACATTTTCATGCTTTGCGCAAATGACGTCACGATGTACTTCTCATTTTGAGATTACTCTAGTAGTAATTCATAAAACAACAAAAGTCATGGTTATTTTTAAATTTGCGGGTATACCAAAAGCTTAATAAAACATGTAAAAACAGTTTTGTATGCACCTTTTAATTCTGAACAACTTTAAACTCTACAGTTTTTTCTGTAAAATGTACAAGAGGGCAGGATATTGCATAAAACTAATTTCCCATGTTAAATCCCTATGTTCCTACTTACCGAGCACCACCCGGTATATGTTTCACTTGTAGGATTACAAATTCTGCGACCTAAGTTGGTACATCTAATAAATAGCATCTTAAAAAAACTAAAATTCAACTGAAAATTGACTCCCTTGGTGTTTCTATATAAACCACATGTTTAGTCTGTCAACACTTACCAAAAATGGATATTAGGTATATCAAACTTTTAATATGAAAGGCGTGATTGCGGTGAAATAACTTTGAAACTTCTCAAAAAACTCACTGAAATCTGGATAAACTATCCGATCGAATTGACAGCACACTATGATATGAATAAATTAATTTTTTGACGGATATATTATGCCGATCGATGTAGGTGTTAAAACAATTGCCATCGCACCGTCAAACGCGCGATGTTTAAATAGTCGTTAAGTTTTCTCCAATTTTCTGAGCGATTTTCTTAGCTTTTCTTGCCGTAAGAACCTTCTACACAGTATTAGAAAACTTAAAAAAAAAGATGAATGGAATCGGTCAAGTCGTTCTAAAGTTATTGCGTGACCAGAAGAAACCGGGGTTCATTTTTATATATAGAGATATACAGATATCTCCAAACAGGTGGAACAATCCCTAACATTAAAGTTACTAGAATCTGGTAACTTCCGCCATTTTTGGGCAAAAATCATGCGTTCTCTCTCTAACACACGAGCCCAATGGATTGCGGTACTTTCTATATTTAGTGACTTTATACTTAACCATGAATCGTACGCCCTCTAGCGGCGAAGATAGAAACTCGAAAACGATTTCCAGCAATTTCTCTTGACCCCTTTTGTTAACAAATGGCCTTAATGGAAGTTATGCTTCTATTAGTTGTTCGTTATGAAACTAACAGATTTTTTATCAGCTAATGCAGCAAAACAATAGAATAATGAAAAGTCTAGTGTGAAAGAGCTGGATTAGTCCACTACCATTCAAAGGTGGTACATTAGAAATTACCATATGTTCAAATATGGCTTCTTTTTATTCTTTAATTTGATTATAACTATATCATAGGAGATTTGTTTTAATTGTTGCTACACATTTTCAATAGTGATGCGAATAGAATTAACCACTCGGCTACACTTAATTTCTCTGGCGTCCTGGATATAATTGTCACAAAATTATCTTTTTCGGTCTGCCGTTAATAAGGGAACCTTGACGTAATTAAAGAAATGCTAGTTTAGGTAAATGTATATAGTGTCTTGTTGGTAGATTTGAAAAACACTGTATGACTGCTAGTGTTCTCTTGCAGATTTCCGCGAGCTTGCTCAAATAGTTTTCAGTCGATACTCAGCTACACAAGCTTCGAGCTGGTCAGTTATTGTCTAGCTTTGAATGAGCTTTATTAGCTTTCGAGTTTTATTTTGCACGAGTAGTGCATAAAAACAACATTTAGCACGTTTTGTTCTAGTCTTGCATGCAACAAATAGTTTTCGGTGAATGCATAGTGTCATTCCAATTTAATTTTTGTCGTCCTCCGTAAATAAATACGTGTATAAATGTGTAAATAGATTAAATGTTAGTTGTAGATTCTTATGTTTGATTATTGGATATTAACGATTTGTGTTGTTGTTTCAGAGTTCGTCACTATGATGACTTCAAAGTGAAGTGAATGCTTAACGGCATTTCAGCTTTCAATTGTTTCAGCCTGGCCCACTATCTACATTTTCAAACATCTTGAACTTTGCTTGGCTGCTGGGCAACTAAAGTGATTTAAATTTAAATTAAATGGTTACTTGGTTAATTTACGAGACAAGTTTAATTAATAAAGTAATTATAATAATCGTGTAAATTTTTGTAATATATTTGTTTCTTTTGGATTCATCGTTAGTGTAGCATGAGTGGTGCAACACCAAAGTTATCTCATACTGTACCGACTTCTGCATAATATATTGTGCTACATGTATAGTTGAGTCAGCCTAGGAGTCCTTCACAAAGTATGGAACAATCGCTTTCGTACTTAGTATATAATTATATCTTTGAAAAAATTGGTGTTTAGCTAGAGAGGGGATACATGCAGACTGTAGCCACACTCCATGTCAATGTTTCATACTTTGTGATCATACATCTGTGCACTTAACACTGTGTATCCCCTTAAATCAAAATTTCTTTCTCGTCGGCGCAATTATCTTTCCTGTTTACTAGTATAATTTTATCAACTTGTAGTTAGATTTTAAAAAATGCTTTTATTTTCACCACAACTATGTTTTTTATGGTTAATTTATTACTTTAATCTTAAGTCTATCAGTTACAACATGTGGAATTAGATGTTTAAATTTTAAATAAATGTGACTGGAAAAAATATTGTAATCGGTCATTTCCTAGTAAATAATTAAATTTTAATTTCAAGTTAGAAAGCTTCCCATCTTATTTATTAAGAGTAATGTTTCAATAGAGGCGTGGAAAGTGTCGCCTACAAAGGACCATTAAAAGTTTTTTGCACTTGTAACCAGTAAGTATTATCATCCTACTTTAGAAAATTATTTACTACCATCTTTAGTTAAGTGTAATGAATAATAATACCTCATTTGTTGCATTAGGAGTTCATTATCATCCATTGTTTATTTTTTTAATCACAAAATTGGTATTGTTTTTCCCACAACACTTGGTAGTAGCAATAAAAAAGACAATGGGGAATTTTTTCCTTTGGTAAACAAGCAGCTTGCCCAACTCAAAATATAATTTGCACAGTTAACCTACATGCCACATGTAAGAAGCTTATTGAAAATAGGTCAAATCCAATGCCCCCGTAGGGTAAACCGAGGTGCTCTGCCGCTTTGGGGGTTTATTTTATCATCTACGGAAGAGAAATGAAACCTTAGGGTCACAGGCTCCAAATATATTTATACTTTGAGTCGCCAGCTAAAAAATGTTACGAACCAACCGCCAAGTTAAAGAGGATGATATGGAAAATTATATTGAACAAAGTAAATGCCAGACCGAGGCCAAATATTGTGCTGCATTTATTATCTATAAGAATTCACTGAAAAGGGTTTGGGAAAGCAGTGAAAAATGATCTGTAAATTTCGGAACTTCTACCACAAGCGGAAATTCGACAGGCTGGAGCGCCTGATTCCTTCACAAAATGGGAAGGGAGATGAGTCAATGGGAATAATAGCGTAAACATCTCGATGTGTGGTAAACATTTGGGATCAGTGTGTCACATAAAAATATTTCACTTCGGAAGTAAGGGAACCCAGGTTGCCAACAAAAACTAGTTGTCAGGAACTCCTGACTTTACTTTCCGACTACTTTTAATAGAGTAATTGCAATTATTATCTATTTAGAAAATGCCCTCTAGCGCCTTTATTTTGAACCCGACGCAAAAAGTGTAGAAGTTTTTTTTGTAGATCTCATCAAGACCCTTCTTTTTTGTAATTAACACTTCACTGCGTTCATATGCGTACTCTTAGAGGAAAATGCAAATTAAAAAAATAAAATAAATAGTTTTTTCAATTCAAAACTTCTCAAAAACAAAGGAACTCACAAAAAAACTGTAATGCATTTTTTGTAGAGTAGATAGAGCCATTTTGCCCAGTGTAAGTTAGAAAAAGAAAAGCCGTTATTGATCTTTTAAACTTTTGACACCCTCAACAACCATGAAGATGGTTACGGATCAAAACCAAAATAGGACGTTTTCGATTCCCCATACCACCCTATATGCACCCTAAATTTCGTCCAAATCTGTTCAGGGGTTTTTTAGTTATCGTGGTCACAAAAAACAAACCATATACACACACCCTCACAGACGTCAAGCTAAAAATCACTTTTTTGGAGTCTGTGTGCTTCAAAACGTCCAGAAAACGCAATATTGACATCGAAAATTTATCACGATTACAATGCTTTGTATGTAGTCTGAAAGTAAAAAGAAAGAAGACATCACCAACTAAATTAAAACTCGATTAATATGCGCATTGTCAATTTTCTTATTTATAGATTTTTTAAATTTTAACAAATGTCATCTCACCTTGACTTTACAGTACAGGGAGCAAAGGGCAATGCAATACTTGTGGGAGTTTTTAACGCGTCGATGCCGATTTTAATTTGAATACTAATTGTTATAACTTACAACATGAAATGTCATTGTAATGCGTTTGCCCGCTGATAATTAACAATTTAGTTTAAATTGTGGAAGTTGAAGAGGAGTACAGGGTGAAAGGAAGAAAAACGAGGTGTGCGTTTTCCGATAACTAAAGGGACCAAGTCGATCGAAGTTCATGCCAGAATGGCGGCTATGTATGGTGACAACAGCTTCAGCTACACTATGTGGCCGGCACGTTTGTACGACAATGCCCGACAAGAACAATCCGATGTGACAAAAAAACGCGCATGCGCAGACTACTCAAAGTCGATTTTCTTACTCACAAGGTAAACATATAGCAAAGAGAAAAAAATCCTTTTTTTACTATTTTCTTGTTAAGGTCCAGCACTGTGTTATCTTCTTTGGCACTCCTTTTTCGAATATTCGTGCTTGAAATGTAGGTCCTACCGTATCGTCCTGTATTTTGACACTCCAAAACATTCACATCTGAAGTTTTACCCCTATTGACAGATACATATCTGCTCTGACCTCTCTTTCCTCTGTCTAAGGCTCTGACACTCCATTCTTGAGATATTTCCACTACAATTTTAGCACTACTCATGCAACCTCTGGTCACGTTTCCTGTTGTTGTGAGTACTTTTCTGACACTCCAATCTTGAGATATTCAAGTTGGAAAGGTTTACCTCCACTCACTTTAAGAGAACTTGGAATCAATTGGAAGGCAACATAAGATGAAATTGAAAATATCTTGAAGACGGGAGAGAAAATTGAGGGGCATCTGAGGAGAAAGTGAGAGAATCTGCTTAAATAGATATTGTTTCTGAGACACACATGTAGGGACACAACGTTTTTCCCGGAAAACATTGGACTATCCTGATAGTAAGTTAACGTGAAATCAATATGGGAACTTATACCACTTTATGCCCTAGGGCATTAAGTATCACCATAGTAACTCATTTATACTTAATGACAAAACAAACAAACATTTGCCGGTCATTGAAAATTAGAAACGTCAATTATTAATTGTCAATACCTACTAAATCACAAGATTGGCCTTATTTCGAATAGTTTCTGGAACTACTTCCTCAGTCACGATGAATTGAATTATTTAAAAATTACGTTTGACGTATGGCTGGTTTCAATCACATTAACAAATTCGAACCACGCATACTTGATCAAACATAATGATCAATTATTTTGTAAACGAATGTTTACTTTGACGGAGAAAACTATTTGTAAGACATAAAATTTTGTATGTACCATGGGCATAAACTGATGTTTATACTCTCGGCCGACTTTAACTCGTAGCCCTCGAGAATATAAACATCATTATTATGCCCTTAATCCATAAATAACTATTAAAACTGTACCAGTGTCCAAAGAAGATTCATGAATTAACCAGTTACGTCACACACTATACAGGGTGGCCATTTGAAAACGAAACACAGCCTATTTTGGAGACCCTAAAACATTTACGAAAAAATCCTAGGACCCGTAAATTTTTTATTCAAGGGGGGAACCATTTTTTTTGCTAGTTTCACCCCCCTGATGGCAAAGCGTTAGCGGAGGTGACAAGCGACCCCAAAATTTTAAATCGAATGGTGGGTCGAGGGATACCTTATTTTGAAGGTATTTTTATGTGGCTTATAACCCTTAAGTTTTAAATCGCTACTAATTTGCCTAGCTGATACAGGGGCTAATAAAAGTTACAAAATGACTGTTTCCAGATCATAGTAGTGGCAAATAGCGCTTTAAAGTTATTTAATTGCAAAATCGGTACATTAAACTGCCAAGCTCTTTAATTAATTTTAAATAAACACCAGAATCGACACGTCCATCGTAAGTGCATTTCGGAATTTGTTCAAAAATTTACGGAAACTGGGTCTGTGGCTAATAAAAAACGTGGAAATGGATAATTCAGTAGTAAATGAAGATCCCACACTGAGCACAAGTAAATTGTCAACCTAGTCTGGTATTAATACAAGCAGCATTCAGAAGATATTAAAAAACACAAGTTTCATCCGTACAAAATACATCTCGTACAAGGACTAAACGAAGACGATTTTAATAACTTAAGGGTTATTATCCACATAAAAATACCTGCAGAATAAGGCATCACTCGGCCCCCCCATTCGATTTAAAATTTCTGGGGCGCTTGTCACCCCCGCTATGGCTTTGCCCTCAGTGGGGCGAAACTAGCAAAAAAATGGGTCCCCCCTTGAATCAAATATTGACGGGTCCGAGGATTTTTTCGTAAATGTTTTGAGGTCCTCAAAGTAGGCTCTGTTTCGTTTTCAAATGGCCACCCTGTATATGCGAATGACTTCAAGGCAAAGCTTAAATTCAGAATTGCCTCACTATCACTACCACCAACCGAAGAAGCTGCCAAACAGCACATTAATATCATGAATTTTTTTTATTGATGTATTGCTCCATGTGAATTATTTGGATATATTAAATGTAGCAGGTAAGTAGTGGGAGGCAAATAATTGAATGTTTTTATTTTCCTTAGGTTATCGATTTTGAAGCTCACTTCATCATCAGACCTTGCTATAATATATAAACGACTCTAGTGAGCCGATAACCTAATGAAAATAAAAACATTCAATTATTTGCCTCCCTCTACTTACCTGCTACATTAAATCATGAATCTTCTTTAGACACCGGTACAGATTTAAAATAATTTTAAGCGCTGATTTAAATAAAACTGCTATATCTGTATTACGTTTTTGAAATACATTTACGTCTCGACACAGAAGTGAATAATTACCCAATTATTGAGTATTTTACTTTAAAATCCTTATTTTCAAAATTGGGCATACAAAACAGTTTTAACTAATTCAGATATTTACCAAATTTTTAAAAATTCCATATTGCCAAATCATATAAATTTCAATAACTTTTTTGTTTTTTGATCAATAGACTTAAACTTTTTTTTATCACAGGTAACTTTTGATTCTCCATAAAAAAAGTCTCTTGAGTTTTTTTGATATAATATATACTTTACGAAATATTTAATAAATTCGAAAAAAGTCAAGATGGCGGCCATTTTTTTCCAAGTTCCACCAATGCGACAAAGTGCGATTTTTGAGGGGTTAATAAGGACCCTATTGGGTACTCATTTCCGCAGAGATCGCTTTGTTACTAATTTTTTCTACCTTAATCACATATTTTGACTAGCCTATAGGGAGATACAATCAATACAGGTTTTTGGTTGTGAAAGATGATTTATCAGAATGGATTATACAAAAAAAATAAACATCGATTTTTCGCTTGCGTATTACAACCAAGTGCAGACTTGTACTTTAACATTAAACTGAATGTAATGCTTATCTCTACTGCCCGATATAAGTTATCAAATTCTGCCCTACCTTAACTTTGATAACATAGCACCACAAACTGCTTCCGTGGTAAAGTAATTTTTTAAAATTACATTCCACAAATCTATACTGCCTGCATTCCCATAAGCGGCATAATACGGTTCAAACAGTATTACTAAAATTTAAAATACCAAAATATGCATATATTAGCTTAAATGGTGATCAACCTATTTACTTTCATCAGAATGATAACAATATTAAGCAAGTTTGATAGCGGAATAAAAACAAAGTCAGACGTGTAGAGCGCTAACAGTTTATAACTAAATTAAATTAATCAGCATGAAAAATATTATTTTTCACTTTTTCACTGTAGCATGTTTACTAGGACATGGTAAAAGTCTCGGTAACTTACTCTACTATTTTGACTCTGCTCTAAAATTTTTCATTTTTAGAATTGCAAGATGAGGTGGAAATGTCGATAAATGGTAGTACTTCGAATGAAAATTTAGCAAATCGAATTCAAGAATTTTATTATGCTAAAAACGCAACGGAAAGAAATCAGTGGTCCTGTAATATCTGTCGTTTAGTAGCAAACAAAGGAATCTCACTACAACAGTTGGGAGGTGACAAAAAGCAGATTTGTAAATTTGCCAGTGATATGTGCGATTTATTCTTGCCAAACGATGCACTGCAATGTAATCGTTACGTTGATAATTTAATTGACTCTTGGATGTACATTGTTGAAAACAAACCAGAGATTAAAGCCGAATCTGTATGCAGAATAAGAATGCAGGATAAAAATTGTTTTCCTGACTCTGAAGTAAATTGGGAAATTAATATACCGAAAGGAGAGTCAAGAGCATTATCCACGGTAGATATTTACAAATATTTCAGCCTTTTCAGTGACATAAGTACTTTAGGCAGCAAACAATAAGGTCCAATATAAAGTCTTGCATTTAACTGACATTCACTATGATCCATTATACAAAGTTGGTGCTAATGCTGTATGTAAAGACGTATTGTGTTGCGAAAGTATTAGTGGAACGCCAAATGCTCCTAACGAAGCCGCTGGTTATTGGGGCGATTACCATGTATGCGACATGCCATGGTATTCGATAGATGACTTAATGGAGCAACTATCACAGCATGTAAGCCCTCCACATATTTCAATAAATCTTATGGTAGCCTCAGAATTTTAGCTGGGTCTACCTTACTGGTGATCTTATCGGCCATCAAATTGCGGCTACGAGTCCTCGCATCAACTCGGACATCATTAAAAAAATTAGCCAAAAATTAAGAGATACTCTAAAAAATGTGCCCGTATATCCAATTCTGGGCAACCACGAGCCTAACCCCGTTGACGCCTTTTCACCGGAAATTGTTACCAAAAGTACTGTATCCACACAATGGTTACTGAACGTGGTCGCCGAAGAATGGGCTTATTGGTTGGGTCCTGACGCAAAAACAACAATACGTAAAGGAGGTTACTATAGTACTGTTATAAGGCCAGGGTTACGAGTAATTGCCTTAAACAGCAATGTATGCTTCACAAACAATATGTAAGTGTCGACTATTTTGTCATAATACGATAATATTGTGTAGATGGCTTTTTTATGAGGAGGGAGATGTCTTCGGTCAACTGCAATGGTTGGCAAATACACTGTTGGAAGCTGAACGGCGTAACGAGGCCGTACACATCCTAGCACACGTTCCGGCAGGTGAACCAACATGTTTAAAAAAATGGAACCACGGGTACAGACAAATTATTAACAGGTAAAAATTAAAACCCAAACAGCGCTTGGTCAATTGATTGTAGATTTCATAACACTATCACTGCACAATTTAATGGACACACCCATGCGGACGGTTTAAAAATATTTTACGATTCGAAAAAACAAAATGAAGTAATTAATGTTGCTTTCAATGGCGGAAGCTTCACAACATTCGTAGGGAATAATCCCAATTACAAAATATATGATATTGAGGGAAGACATGGTGTAAGTATTACTCTTTTTTGAAGCTGTTAATGTTCTTATATGTAATGTAGTTCTCCATTATTTTGGGTTCGTTGTAAATTCTTAGGATATAAAAGGAACCACAAATGTTTATTAAATTTCTAAAAGGCGATCGATTTCGGGTTTTCTATCTACCCATCATCAGGCCATGCGTCATTTGAATTATATATAAAGCAGCAACATTGATTAAAATTGGATAAAAGTGTTAAAAATTTACATTAATGAAGACGAAGGTACACGAGAATATCTTGACTAGGAGAGCTCTGCTGCCATATAAGAGGTCTCCTAGTCAAGATATTCCGATGTACCTTCGTCTTCATTAATGTAAATTTTTAACACTTTTATCCAATTTTAATCAATGTTGCTGCTTTATATATAATTCAAATGACGCATGGCCTGATGATGGGTAGATAGAAAAAACCCGAAATCGATCGCCTTTTAGAAATTTAATAAACATTTGTGGTTCCTTTTATATCCTAAGACTGTTAATGTTGTATTCTCGTAGCATGTGTCCAATTACAAAGTATGGATGTATGATCTATCAGAAGCAAATAAGAGTGGAAAAAAACCGAAGTGGTTTCAATTGTATTCTTTTCGAGAGACTTTTCAAATTGATAAATTAAATCAAGAGGGCTTTCATGAATTAGTAAAAAAATTGGGTAGTAATAAACAGATGTTGGAGACATACAGAAGGTAATAACTGACGGTTTTTTAAAAAAAAAGGAATAATGAGAAAAATACAGATTTCGATCACGCAATGGCACCGCTTCGTTGACCAGATGTGATGTGAATTGTTTACGATCCCTGTATTGTGAAATTACACAGACAGAACATGAAGAAAGCGCTCAGTGTGGTCAATGGTTTAAAATACAATAGCTTTTGTTTTAGACTTTAGAGCCAGGTCCCCAAAAATTCCAAAATTTTGATTTCTCTTAGTTTAATTTTGTCTCAGCAACCTTAAGTTATAGAGACACAGACATGGAACAAATAGCTTCACCCAGGGTGTTGGGTATGCCGTGTCTAATTTTGTAAAATTACACTCCTGAATGGAGGTAGGTACTAAAAATAGTGACAAAATATGCTATCTGCAGGTTTTTGAGTCTCAAAAACTAACTAGAAAACAAATTTTGATTTAAAGTAAGCTAAAAATATATACAGGGTGGTGACTTGCGTAACGCATCATAGGGATTTCAATGTAAAATTCATAACATGCGATTATTGGCTCCCCAAATTATTTTAGAGCAAAAATGTATTAAGGTGTCAATTAACCGTATTAGTTTTCAATTTTTTGCATATAAAGACGGAAAATAGGAAAAATAAAACCCGCACCTTTTTCAATAATCTGCGATGCCATGGAATTTTCTAAAACAAAAAGATATCCAGTTATCAATTAGCAGCAGTTCGAAATGGATTTTATGATCGACTTGATTACTGTCTTGCAGTTAATGGTGACTTATTCGAACATTCATTGTAAATTGTTATATTAGGAAACCCTTTTTAGTAATTTGGTCTTTCTTAATGTTGAATTTGCTGTTCTAAATATAATACTTTTTGATAGATTTTGATTTGTTTTATAGTAGACATTCCATGGCATGACGGATATTGGCGTAGTTTTTGTATTATAAAATTCCATGGTATCACAGATTATTGAAAAAGATGCAGGTTTTATTTTGCCAATTTTCCGTATTTATTACGCAAAAGATTGAAAACTAATACGGTTTATTGACGTAAAAAATTTGTTTCTACAAAAAACCTTAATACATTTTTGCTCTACAATAATTTGGGGAGCCAATAATCGCATGTTATGAATTTTACATTGAAATCCCTATGATGCGTTACGCAAGTCTCCACCCTGTATGGTTGTGTGTTGGCGTAGTGATTTTAATAATTGATTTGGGGTAAAAATCCTTTAATAAAATCAGAAAGGGAATTATAAAAAACCTTGGATAAAGTTTTCAATTCCATCTTACGTCTTAGGGTTGCTGAGAAAGCTAAAAAGAAACACAAAGAAACTTTTGGCATCTCAACAGTTTATACTAAAAAATGTTTATTTTGGTCCTTTTTTATACATCTTGAATTATGTACACATAAGCTCATAGTGTTAATAATAAAGAATTAATTGAAATAAATAACTTTGAATCTCAGAGGAATTATTCCTCTGAGCTTTGAATCTATGTGGTCTTGATTGTTGGTAAGTAATGCGGCCAACTTTTTAAAACAGCAATGTGGGACAAAATCGGGTTTCAAATCTTATCCCTAACATTTCAAAAGAAACACAATCATACTACAGAACAAAAATATTTTTTAATTAACCCTAAATATAGCTCTGTTTTATTAATAATAGTTACCTATTTATTATACGATATAAGACGATAAAGGGATATTAATTAAGTGAAAGATGCAAACTTTTTATTTTTGTATGTTAAAATGACATTTTAATAGGTTTCAATGCGTACGGTTATTCGTTCCATAAATTGATTTTCTCGATTTTTTTTTGTTTTATGGATCATCAAATTTGGTATGTCTGGTTGAAACCAATCTAACTACGATAAAAGCTTCGTTTTTGGCAAATAAAGTGCTACTGCAATAGGTAGAGGTAAGACACTAATGCTCTATCGTCGTCAGCACATGTGTCTTCTAAAAAATAAAAAACACTTTCTCATTGCCATTCCTTTTAAGCTGTACAAGACACTGTTGAGAGATTTTCAATATAACGTTTCGTTGCTGAAAAATTATCACCAACTTTATTTCTAGCGCATTTATTAGGAATCAAAAAAATGTGCTATTGTTTGAGTTTTGTCCGCCCGTCCGGACCTACTTCTGCGGTTTTGAACTACTTTTGTGAGGAATTGTCCTAGAGTCCTTTCTTAAAAGTAAGTGTATCAACGAAAGGAATTGTTTTCTACCACCTACTGCCCTTATCAAAATGAGAAGGGGGGAGGAATGAATTTGTTTTATCCTTCATGGTACTCTAATGAAAGGTCTCAACTAAAGAAATTCATTTCTACCAACCACAGTCCTCGCCTCCACCTTCTGGACGAAATATATCCATACATTGTCAAAACTTTAAGAGATAATATCTCAAACACAATGTGTTGGAGAGTATACTCACAAGGGTAAAATGAATCGTCTGGACAAGACATATCTATTGCTGACGTTAAAACAAATACCTATCGAAAACGAAGTGGCGGAAGATGGCACTCATAAAGGGCAAGTGAAACGTCTAGACAAAACACATCTACTGGTAATGTCAAAACGGAGTGTGGGAGGAGGGTACTCTCAATGGGGGGTTTGAACGTCTAAACGAAACATATCTACTGGCGCTATGAAAACGGTTAAAAGCGCTCGCGAGCGGGAAAAGCGCTCGGAAGCGGCAAAAACCGCTCACAAGCGGAAAAAGCACTCACGAGCGAAAAAGCACTCGGGGGGGGGGGGGGGGGAAACCGGTCGCAAGCGAAAAAAAACTCGCGAGCGAAAAACCGCTCGTGGGCAGAAAATAGCGCTCGAGTGCCGAGCACTTTAAGCTCGCAAGCGCGTTTTCCGCGTGGAGTGGTTTTTCGAGCGGAATGCAAAGATTTTTAATGATTTGCGCAATCGCGATTTTGACTAAATGTACTTCAGTTCAATTCAATGTAGTAGTTTAGGCATAATATGGATAAACGATAAAAATTGACATTTTTTATTACTTTGACACACTTGAGCATGCGCTCAGGTATTTTATATCTAAGGGCGGGTTTATGCTGCAACTTCTTTATGCTTAATACAGTAGACTCGCTGAACATACTTACGCATATGTGAACATTCAGTAATGTGAACAACACAACATTCCTTCATGTGAACAGTACATATTGCAGATTCAGACTTGCTTGCAACTGTTTTAGTAGCTTATTAGGCATTTTTGCAGCAAGTCCAGAGGTGAATGCACGTGTTTGTGTTCATAATTTACAAAATGGCACACACTGTACTATGCGATCAAAAATGAAATTTTTGTTTGCATGGGAAATCATACTTAACTTAAACTTCCAAAGGCGTCTCGACCGCCACTCATTTTTAATCGCCCGTTATATTATAAAAATAAATATTTTATATGAATTCGGTAGTGTGAACAATCTCGAAAACATGAACCCTCTGAAATTTTTTGAGTTCGTGTTAACGAGAGTCTAACTCCCTTACATCTTAATTCATAATTCGTATAATCAGTGGTGTAGTGGAGCCGGAGCGCTGCTTCAGCACTGCTTGTGAGAGGGGAGCGGCGCTCCGGCACAGGATAGGAGACGGAGATAAGATAAGTGATAATAACTAATGATATTTGCGACTTAGATAAAATTAGTGACTTTGGTTAACAACGTAAACTAAAGGCCTGTAATATGGTGTTTGTTCATAACGTTTAATAAACAAATAAAAAGCCAACCGTAAAAACAAACTTGAATTTTTTTACACCTTTAGAGCAATTGTTTCAAAACCCATTTATTTTATTGCAAATTTTTAAAAATTTTCCAACTCCAATTTTGCTTGGAGGGGGGGGGGTGTATTCAATACCCTCAATACCCTTGGTTGCCTGCATTTTAAGGGCTCCAGCACTGCACCACTACGTATAATATAAAAAGATAAATGTAGAATGTCGGATGATTTCTTAGTTCGTAATTCTTAGTACACGACCTTGAAAATTCCTAACTTTCAACTTTTAAGCATTAACAATTGAGAAATCTGAACATGGCGCATGCGCGATTGTTCGTAATATCAGCTGGCCTTTCAATTTGATTGGCAGTTATACAAAGACTTACGGAATGGGGGTTTACAGTATAGTTGAATTTCGTAGTTCTAATTTAATAAACGTGTACCTGAAACCATAAAACATTTTTTTGGACAGTAAAAGTTTATTTAAAAATAGAGGCTGATTAGCAAAAAAATAATGAACATGTGCGGTTTTAAAGGTTTATTCAAAACGATATGATTGTGGCGGGCTCTGTGACGTAATAAGCCCGACCAATCAGCTCCTAGAACCATACAGATGACATAACGACTTGGCAATATTGCAGGAGAATGGCATTTATAATTTGCGTCATCTGTCACAGGCACTTGTCACTTTCGTGCTAGATGCAGTTAAACATCCCTCTCAAAACGTCAAATGTGACAAACGTCAGACCCTCGTGTAAGGTTGCCAGCTCACTTCTACGTGATTGGTTGTAGGTTTGTGACGTATTTAGTCTGAAGCGTTTCAAATTCGGACTAAAAACACAGCTTTTCAATAATTTATTTTGGGTTTATTTTACTCGCAAATAAAAATTGAAGACACACGGGTCTTTTTATTTTTAATGTACTTTGTGGATCAGAAATAAAAAATGAAGGCGGGATGACCCCATTCTATAAACTTGTTGGAAAATTACTCAAGAGTTAAGATCTATGCATAACAGATTAGAAATAAAGAATTAAGCATTAAACATAAAGAAGTTGCATAACTCCCCCCTAAGAATATACGCACCAAATTTTGTTCCAATCTGTTTAGCCGGAAATGAGAGTACAGGCAGACAGACCGACCTCATCATGATTATGTGCGATTAGAATTCCTTCAAAATGTGTATTTCCGTAAAAAAAGTGAGGTAGTCATTTTCTACCCCAATGCAATATACGGAGTGGCGGAAAAGTATGGAATCAGCGAGTTACAGCCTTAACCATTCGTTATATTGAAAAGTGTGAGATGAAAATTGTTTGATATTATATTATGCATTTTTTTACGCACACAGATATTTTTTCGACGTCATTTCAATTTATGTTATGCTTTACATACGCATTTCTCAATGTTTTGATTTAATTACATTAAAACTAAAATATCTTGAAATCTGAGAACTTCACAGTATTAAAATCCGATACCATTTTGAAGCACCTCATCTAGAGGATCATAAATAACTAAAAAAATACAGGGTGCTCAATTTAAAACATGACATGACTTGAAATGATGTCATTCGAAAAAATATCCGTGTACGTCAAAACATGCATAATATAATATCAAACAACTTTCATATCACACTTTTTTCGATATAACGAATGGTTAAGGCTGTAGCTAGCTGATTCCATACTTTTCCGCCACTCTGTATACACCCCTTTACTAAAGTGCGGGTGGTAAAACGTAAAACTTAAATCATATAATAACAATAACAAAGAGTTCAAAGGTCCCTTTACAAAAAATATTAGGCTCACCAGGAGAGAATGCCAGTCTACAATCATATGGTTTAATATGAAAAACATACGATTGTAGACCAGAATTAGGTGTTTTGTGACTGGCATTATAAAGATGCATGATGTTATGATATATGGCAACATTGCAAGGTAGATTCTTTAAGATAAAATAGGAACCTGGAAAGCATCGAGATTGCTTTGTAATATTTCACGTGGTTAGGCAACACATTTAACAAAGAACTATTTCAACGAAACCTACCCCGTAACACTTCTTATTATTAAGTTATGTAGTCTTTGCTTTTACCCAAAAATTGCAGAAATAAAATTGAGTCATTTATTCAGCCATTTCAACATCATCAATAGCCAAATCATCTAGCATTTCCTCCAAAGTAATGTACGGCCCGTTACCAGTATATGTGTCATATTCGTCGACAGGAATTTGTTTAGACGAATCCTTAAAGATGTTAACATTTTGACGCATTTCTGGATCCATCTCCAACTCATTCAAGAATTCATGGTAATCACTAAAAATGTACCTACATTAATAACAAACACAACTACACGAAACATACTTAGTATCGGTATCAAATGCGGTAACTTCATTGGTGAGATGTTTCAATTTCCAAATGCGTTGCCGCTGCTTGTTTGCATAACATTTTTTCACCAATATGATATCGGGTATTTGGTTTTTGTCCAAATTTTCAAAATTTGTATCATTTATATTGCTGTCTTCTAAATTGTAACTATCAAAAATAATTTTAGAATAGTTTCATTACTAACAAGCTGTAGCTTACCCAAATGCAGAATCGCCGGGTTTAAGAATATGTCCCAAATGTGTACGACTGTGGATTGTATTATCATTGATGCCCAATTCCGAAGCTCTCACAAGCCATACATCTGACAAAATGTGCTTGCTTGAAATGGCACCCTGGCCAGGGAAATGTGTACGATTTTTGTCCAAAATTGGCTCAATGTCCATCACAACATATTCAACCAGTTGCCTTGGATTACAAATGCTCTTAAATGGGTAACGCCAAAAGATAGTGCTACTGACTTCAGCAACTACAAATTACAAACTCCAATTTACTGATTGGCTAACCCAAACGTGACCATAATTTAATGTTCTTATAATGTGTTCCAACCTCGACACTATTACTATTTTCAATATACTATTGAAGCTACATATGAAGCATCTTTTCTTATGAATCCAAAAAACAACTGAAATTGGGTTTTTATTTTTCTCATTTGATTATTGCTATCCTGCACGCTTTACATATAATACTTCGACCAATTGCAACTCCAATAGTAGGCCCTTATTTGGAGCACAGTATAAAAACAAGTTCTTTACAACAATACAACTAGTGACCAAAGTAAAGTTGGTTCAAAAATCATACTTTGTGCTGTTGATGGATCAATCAAATGCAGGGTGTTGGACACACGATACACCAAACAAATTGGTGAAATTCCTCCAAGTTGATGGGTTAACTTTTTTGGAAGGCATACGATGCTATCTTTCGAAACTGGTACAATATCAACGGAGTAGGTAAACTTGTAATTATAAACATTGCTATGGACATCGTGAGAAATTAACTTCTTCGAGTGTTGATATTTACAAGGTAAGACCGCATTTAGAAAATCAACCATTTTCCTAGCGTGCGACTCAGTAGCGTAATAAAAATCAAGTCCCTCTACAATACGTATTATTAGAAAAAGTACTTGGGAAATTGACATATACCATGCACGGGTTTAATTCCCAGCGTGTTGTCGTGAACTTTATGTTTCAAAATCAACTGCTCAAGATAATAAAATGTTTTCTTATTCTCAGATTTTTGCCGAACTTGCACAGACGCACGCCAATAATTTTGCGCCTCATTTCTGTGACAATCTGTGCACATTTGATGGCTCACAGTGTACTCCACAATAAAAACTTGTTGAAGCATGGCACCTCCGAGAACTTCACCGTGCACTGTCAACTTCACCTACACACGACATTAAGTTACTTGGTCTGGATGATTTATAACTACAAACCTTAATACGTTTAGAATGTGGTTCTGTCCATACGAAGCTAGCGTCAACCAGCTTAACACGATTCAAACCTTTCAGCTTTTTTAAGCATAAGGAAAGAAGCTCGCGCGATTCTAAACTACAACTAACCCACTCCGAAGGCGGTTGAAAGTAACGTTCGCAACCGCGACAAAACTGCAAAGTCGCTTGTTTGGGAATTCCTTCCGTTATATCAACGTGTGAACGTAAGCAAGCGACGCACATATTCGCCGGGTTCGGCTCGATTGGAACACCACACTCGCAACATAATCTAAAAAATATGGAAATTACTTATGAAAAAGAATTGATTATTTAGTGCATACATTTTTTGTTCCGATTGTGTAGGAGTATACCCAAATGCTTGTTCCATTGCAGTTAAATTGGGAATAATTGCATTCAGTTGAGAAATTCAAACCACGACGGAGACAAGCTAAAAATCTAACCTTTTTACAATATAACCTCGAAAGTGACACATGACAGCATGATACAGGAAGGTTGTGCCAATAGGCACAGATTGGCTGTGGTGCTTGTGTAGTGTTATTTAAATCATTTATACATGGTGAGCCATTATTGTGTGGGTGGAAGTTTGTGGTTTTTTAAAATTTGCCGGGACATGTTGAAGGACTAAAGGCTATAACCTAAAAATATTCTCAGCTTGTTATACAGAGTAACATTATACCAAAGAAGACGCTTTTGGACCAGCAGTGGCTTGCCAATAAATGAACTCACAAAGATGGAAACCTAACTTTATTAAATTAATTTCAAGAATCCGAGATTTATCTTAAACTATATTTTAGGGTGGATGAAAGAGATTTTGAAAAGCCACTCCACCTAATTAGTCCTGACATTGAAAAACTGGACACTGTAATGAGAGAATAAGCAATTTTAAGCACATTGAGTAAATCAGAGTGTAGTACACCGGTACACGTGGGAAATTAAACTCTGCAAGAAAGAAAACAAAAGAATCATGTAAGCTGCAACTGACCTGAAAATCGTTTTCAAGTATTTTCCAGTGGTACCAATCCTTCATTCATTGGTATCAATATATTGGCGTATAAAAAATTGCCAAATTATAATTGCACAGTGTAATCACCCCATTTTTTTTTGAATAATTGCTGCAAGAATTGCAATAAAAATTGCTAGCGATTGAGATAATGTATGCCCGTCCAGTTGCGTGACTGTAAGCTGTTTTTGACGACACCTAAACGAAACCGGTCACATGAAATTAAACATATGTCGATTGCGTATTGACCAGTTGCGTGCCAACAATATACCGGAGTCGATCATTTCTATCGGTGCCATTTTCTAGTAGTTTTGCTGTTCAATTTAATTGAATAGTGATCATGATCAGAAAAATGTCTAGAGTCCTGTCAACCTGCGAACAAACTTCACATATTTTGCTCTAGTAGTCTAGTTTCTAGTGCGGGAAGTAGAAAAATAAATATCTTTGTTTATATAATTAATGAACCCAAAAACGCTTTCGGCTTTTTCTACTCCTTAAATACATGGACACACCACATAATCTTGATCGAACCAAAGAGTAACTTCTTTGATCGAACGTTGAAACTCTTGATTTCTCATATTCATTTGTAGTGTTAAATGTTTAATGCGTAACATTTTTGAGCATAAATCCACAGAAAAAATTGCGACAAAACTCTCATTCATCGCAAGGCAAACTTTGCTTTCATCCCTACCCCAATCACTCTGAACAGGAGCAAGTGGCATTATTTTGTAGCAAGTGCAACTAGTGGATCAAGAATCAAAATCAACTATATAGGTGATTAACCAATTTAATTTGTTAGTGATTTGAAGGGTGCGTTTAATTAACATGGGAAAAGTTGTAATAAGGGAACACCGAAAAGTGGAGTGTTTTGGACAAAAATAGGGCCCACCACCAGAAGAAAATTTTTCGGTTAATTTTAGTGACGAGTTAGAACTAACTTCTAAGTGGCTATTTGAATTTGAACAGCCAAAGTAACGGGCAATCAAAAATGAGTGGCGGTCGAGTATATGGATTCCCATGTAAACAAAAATTCCAAAGATGGCTCGACAACAAAACAATTCATTTTTAATCGCATATATGCGATCAAAAATGAGTTGCTGTCGAGTCACCTTTGTAATTTTTGTTTACATAGAAAATCGTAGTTAAGGCTCCTTTGTAGTCAATTTGTATTTCAGTGTTATTGAAATTGGTTAGACCACCAACAATACACACTGCTACATGAACTCCTTGAGTGAAACCATTGAATAAAAACACTATAAGAAGCCTAACCCCGTGGAAATAAAGCGCGACAGAGATTGAACTGAGAATATAATGGAAACACTGTCAATAGTGTCGATTCTTGAACTGAGAAGAATGAGAATTTGCTTTCCTCCTATTTACCGCAAAGAGAGTTCGGCGATCACAACCAATGCGGGTGCAAGGGGATTTGTCGCGCTTTCTTCCATAAGCGTTAGGTTTCTTATAGTGTTTTTATTCAATGGTGAAACCAACGATGTATCTATCCTTCTCAGTTTTGCATATTCCCTTCATTTATTGTTAAACACAATAGACCATGTATAATGATCAAGGACTAATTATGTAAAGAAGTTTATCGAAAAGCTGTACAACATTTGACTGGAGATGCACAAATACCTATTTCTGTTACCGTTGAAAAATTACTTACTCAATGCATTTACTGCATTTTTCTATAAAGACACCTTCTGTAAATTACCTGGTTTTCAGGTAATTAGTGGACTAGATTAGCATTGTTGTTACAACATTTTTTAATTACCCCTTTATTTCTTGTTATTTGTTCTAATCATTTTTACTGATTTATAGATTTTTATAGTTATTAGGTACATGTGCATGAATGAATTCACTTAGGTATGGTAGATCCTAAAAAAACCGGCACTTTGAACACCTAAAATAAATCTTTCTTTACTTATATACAACGGTGAACAACAACAAAAATTGTATGTTTTTATAAAAATGGTAGCTAACAAGTAAAATTCTGTTACAATGATTAAAAGTATAACATTTATACTGATTCTAAATAAATCCTAATCTTTTCAAAAATTAATAACAATTGTACATTTAGCGTATTACTTATTTATATCTATGCACGACCCATGGAGAATTTTTCCGAACATCTTTTTGTGCGGTAAGATGACTTCACTTTTTTGCCCTGAATTCAATGGTAAAAATAAAATTTACTTGATCCTGGACAAATATTCCTGTTGATAAAGTTGATACCAGTCCATATTGAAAAAAGAAGTAGGTAGTAGTAAAAAATTTACCGGTTTCTGTCGCTACATAGTATTGGAAATTTGAAAAAAATTCGTCAATTTGATGTGAAGTTTGTGGGATGGGACACCATCAAAAGGTATCAAACGGAAAGATAAATTGTCGAATTTTTTTTAAAGTGCAAGAATTTGTTTATATCCACCACTTTCACTAACTTGACTTTACATGAGCAAAACAGTGACACTTTGTTTTAAATCAAATTGTCAGTGTCGGCCATTAGTTATCGTATCCCGCTTAGGAATTTAACTAAAAAGGGGAATTGTATTTATATCGGTAGCGTTTCTTTTATATAACTTACCACGACGTTTCCTATGTTTATGTTCCGCTAATAAGTGAAAAAATGCCTATGTGTCATTTGTTATCTATTGGGCGCAACTTTATGGAAAGCAAAGGGCATGTGCATCTTTTGCTTTTGGTCGCATTTCTCGAAATAGATACTCTTAGTCCAGTATGCAGATAATTTTGACCTGCAAAAGGTGGTGTTAAAGATTTTATTGTTTTAAATGGTCCATTTGGGTCCAAATAACATGTATTTGAAGAGTACGCACAAATTGTTTCCCGGCACAACTTTTGGAAGCCAAAAAACCTCAACATTTTTGGCATTTTTTTAGTTTTTCGCTAAAACTCGAAAACGGTCCATATTTTATGAATAACACTTCTTTAGTAAAGTAAAGAAAACAAAATTATGCGTCGATAAAAAAACAAACAAAATCGGTCCAATAGAAAAATTTTTACAAGCGATCAAAAAATGCCCATTTTTTCCAACGAATTTCAAAAATTGGTCCATTTTTAAATTGTTGGTACTTTTTGAACTCTCTGATTGATGTTCTACAATCTTTAGGGTTGGGGGGGTAGTGGATTTTATCGTTCCTTTAGGAGCCACAACGCATTAAAAAAAGGTTAACTCAGTTCTTTAGAAAAGTTGGAAAAACTGAGCGTTTTTTGATCGCTTGTAAAAATTTTTCTATTGGACCGATTGTGTTTGTTTTTTTATCGACGCAGAATTATCTTTAATTTACTAAAAAAAAGTGTTATTCATAAAATATGGACCGTTTTCGAGTTTTAAGCGAAAAACTGAAAAAAGTCCTAACGTTTTGAGGTTTTTTGGCTGCCAAAAGTTGTGCAGGGAAAAAATTGGTGTGCACTCTTCAAATACATGTTATTTGGACCCAAATGGGCCATTTAAAACGTTAAAATCGTTTGCACCACATTTTGCAGGAATCGGACCTTCTGACTGCTCCGCATACTGGACTATCCGAGGAAACTGATAATTTTAGATGAGCAATATACACAAACATGTAACGCTTCTGATAGTTTGAAAGCATTGTTATAAAACAGAGTTCATATGCAGCACTACTTATGATATAGCATGTGAAGTAGGTACCTACCTAGTATTGTACGTACCCTCTGCCCCGTCAAAGGGAAATAGTATTACAGCCTCATTATAGGTTTTTTTTTTTTATTTCTTGAAGCATCCTGATGGGATGCAAAAGGTTTTAGAAATTTCCAATGTATCTATAATAGGATATCCATGTTTCGTCTTGGGAATATGTGGCATTATGATTTACAAATCAACAGCATTCAAATAAATAAATAATAAATAGTAATATTTATCTAATCCATATCATTAGGAACGGCGTAACAATGTGTAGGGTAATGACAGAGGTAGTTTCTTTTGTTTTCCCTTTCAAGTAATGAGTTGTCGCCTCAGGCGTTATAAGTCCAATTTGAGTGGCCTATCCTTGCGTTAGCGTTTTGATTTTTTTCTGAAGATCGCGAAACATATTTTTTTAAATATACCTATGCCTTATCATAATAGATGGAAATAATATCTTTAAGTACCGCCGTAAGAAATACTGTCGGATTTCCAAATTGATGCTGTAGGTTTTTCTATTCCCAATCCCATTACAACGGCTGTTATTTACGAAAAACGATTTTTCTATTCATCGATTTTCCTAAAAAACTAAGACCGATATTTCAACTTTTTTTAAGTACCGCCGTTCTTTTCATCATTGCAAAGAATATCCACTATCGAGAATTTGTTAGACTTCAACTACAAAAGCAGCATTTCATAAGAAAGTTTAGCTATTTTTCCAATATGGCGGATTGACTACAGAGGAGCCTTAACTTGAACTTCCAAAGGCCACTCTGACAGCAACTCATTTTTGATCGCCTGTTAGTAGAAGGCAACTGCCAACTTTTCTATGTAC